AACTCCATAACAACAACAAAAAAAATTGAAGAATAATTTTTATAATGTGAAAGTAGTGTTTTCATGATAAACAAACAAACCTGGTAGTGGTAGCTGTTCCAAAACTTATGATGTTCATGCATGAAAGTCCAGAAAATAGATTCACTCTAGTCAGAATATAAAATGTTGCTTTATTCAGAAATTGTATAAGACTGCACATGAAAAGTTAATATTAATAAGCACTTATTAAGTGCTTGTTATATACCAGGAACTTACACACTACCTTACTTCATCCTCACAACAACCTATGAGATGCTGCTCATTTTTCCAATGTGGAAGCTGAGAGCTTGAAGGTTTATCTAGCATTAGTATGAAGAGGTGAAATTTCACATATGCAAGAATATCTTACTCCAAATCTCCTCACTGCTGTAATCCTCTGCCTCCCACCTTCCAGGATGCCACATGAAAAAGGTTTTCATGCCATTCTGCACCAAGTCTGGAGAGTTAGAGAGAAGAGACTCCTGTGTAAGATCCAGCAGGTAGTCAAACTGGATTTCTAAGCCAGACCTCCCTGTCCTATTTCCTTTCTCTCCCTACTTCCTTCTGGGTGAGGACTAAGTTGACAAGGAATACTGAAGCTTCAACCAATCTGAATCTCAAACATATTCTTAATGCTGGGATAGGTACCTGTGTATCTCTTCTCTGTGCAGTTGGGCATCTAGACTATCCTGGCAGTGTTTTAAACGTTCAAATAAGCTTTTATTAGTTTTCAAGCACAGCAAAACTCACAATACTTCATATTCATGAGTTCTGCATCTGTTGATAGATTCAACTATCTGAGAATCAAAAATACACAGAAAAATGTTTTGTGAAGTTTCAAAAAGCAAACCTTGAATTTGCCCCACACCTGACTACTAAGTTGAACCCATGTGAATGAAGTGATGTTTAGATGTTGTATCGGGTATTATAAGTAATCTAGACATGCTTTAAAGTATATGAGAGCATATGCGTAAGTTATATACAAACATTATGCCATTTTATATAAGGAATTGAGCATCCACAGAGTTTAGTAACTACAGGGATCCTGGAATGAATCCCCCACAGATACCAAGGAACAACTGTATATTACTTACTGGAAATAGAACTAGAGCTACTGCCAAATGATTTGGGCCTTCCTTTCATGTCCCATAGTTATTAGTGTTTGTCACTGCTGTCACCACCACCACCCTTTTCACCAGCATTATCATGTTTGCTATGTCCACTCTCACCACTTCTATTGAAGATTATGCTGGAGGTTCTTGCCAGGGCAATTAGTCAAGAAAATAAAAATAAAAGCATTCACATGGGAAAACAAGAAGTAAAACTATATCTATTCACAAATGACATTGTTCTTTATATAAGAGATTCTAAGGAATCTACTACCAAAAGGTATTAGAATGACTAAATGAGGTCAGTAGGGTTGCAACATAATTTATTTTTTATATGAGCAATATATTGTACAAAAATAAACTGTATTTTTATATACTTGCCACAAGCAATCAAAAATTTATTCAGAATAGCATCAAAAAGAATAAAATATTGAAACAAATTTAACAAAAGAAGTGCAAAGCTTGTACTCTAAAAATTACAAAACACTGTTAAAAGAAATTCAGGATGGGCTTAAGTGAAAAGATGTTTTATGTTCATGGACCTGGAGACAATATAATTAATTTTTGATGCCCAGGTTCAACACAATTTCTAATTGAATCCAAGCTAAGATTGTGTTGAAATCGACAGGCTGTTCCTAAAATTCATATGAAAATTTCAGGATTCAGAATAATCAAAACAATCTTTAAACATAACAAAATATGTAGACTCACACTTGGCAAGTACAAAACGTACTACAAAGCAACAGTAAACAAGGCAGTGTGGTACTGGCATAAAGATCAACATAGAGATTAGTGGAATAAAACTAACAATCCAGAAATGAGCCTTCATGTTTGTGGATGCCAAAATAATTCAATGGGGACAGAATTGTTTTTTCAACAAATAATGATGGGAAATCCATACACAAATAAATAAATTTTGACCCCCTACTTCATACTATATAAAAAATTAACCATAATGGACAAATTTAAGAGCTAAAATATAAAGTTCTTAATTTTTTTTTTTGAGACAGGGTCTTGCTCCATCATCCAGGCTGGAGTGCACTGGCACCATCATGAATCACTGCAGACTCAACATCCTGGGCTCAAGCCATTCTCCCACCTCAGTCCCTGAGTAACTGGGACTACAGGCATGTGCCACCATGCCCAGCTAATTTTTTTAAATTTTTTTTGTAGAGACAAGGATCTCTCTATATTGCTCAGGCTGATCTCAAACTCCTGGCCTCAAGCAATCATCTCACTTTGGCCTCCCAAAGTGCTGGAATTACAGGTGTGGGCTGCCACACTCAGCCATATACATTTTTTATTTATTTAAAATATAGTGAAAACTTCACATCCACTAGGATGGCTGTAATCAAAAAGAAGGATGTTAATAAGTGTTAATGAAAATGTGGAAACATCAGAACACTTACACTGCTGGTGGGAATGTAAAATGGTTCAGTAACATTGAAGAAAATTCTGACACTTCTCAAAAAGTTAAATATAGAGTTACCTTTCGATCCATCAATTCTACTGCTAGGTATACATAAACGAAAACATATGCCAACTGAAATATCTGTACACAAATGTTTATAGCAGAATTATTCACAATATCCAGAAGGTGGAAACAAACCAAATGTCCATTAACTAATGAATGGATAAACACATGGCATATTGGTGTAATGCAATATTATTTGAGCATAAAAAACAAAGTGCCCATACATGCAACAACATGTATGAAACTTGAAAACACAATGCTAAGTGAAACAAGCCAGTCACAAAAGACCACATAGTATATATGATTGCATTTATATGAAATGTCCAGAATGAATCTATAGAGACAGAAAGTAGGCTAGTGATTTCCCAGGGCTGGGAGGTGGGTACATTGGAGGTAACAGCTATTGGGTACAGATTTCTTTCTGGAATGATAGAAACGTTCCAAAGTTGATTATGGTGGGCTTTGTCATTTTCATAACCTACTGTCTGCATTCTTTTAGCAGCAAATCTTTAAAAGTATGTAGGAAATATTCTATAGCAGGTTCACAGAGCAGGTTCTGAGGTGAAACTACTTAAACTTGAGTCCTCGTTCTTTCACTTTCTAAGTCAGAAAGTGTCTTCTGTGGGGCGAATTTAACGTCTTGTGCGTCCATATTGTACTACTCAATACAGCAGCCGCTAGCCACATGCATCTGTTGAACACTTGAAATATGGCTCATCCAAACTGAGATGTGCTTTGTATATAAGACATATACCACATTTTGAAGACCTAATCCTCCCCTCAAAAGTAAAACATTCCATTTGGGCCGGTCGCGGTGGCTCACGCCTATAATCCCAGCACTTTGGGAGGCCGAGGTGGGTAGATCACGAGGTCAAGAGATCGAGACCATCCTGGTCAACATGGTGAAACCCTGTCTCTACTAAAAATACAAAAATTAGCTGGGCATGGTGGCGCGCACCTGTAGTCCCAACTACTCAGGAGGCTGAGGCAGGAGAATTGCTTGAACCCAGGAGGCAGAGGTTGTGGTGAGCCGAGATCGTGCCATTGCACTCCAGTCTGGGTAACAAGAGCGAAACTCCGTCTCGAAAAAAAAAAAATTAATAATAATTTTTTTATTACTTACATGTTGATACTATACTTTGGATATATTGGTTAAATAAAATGTATAACTACAGTTTATTTCACCTGTTTTTGTTTAAATTTTTAATGTGGCTACTAGAAATTCCAAATTACTTATGTGGCTCATATAATACTTCTCTTACTGCTGATCTATAATACAGAAAGAATGCTACCTGTTAAATATAGTTGTTGTGAAGATTAAATTAATGTATGAAAAATGTTTTAAAATACCTTGCATATAATAAGCACTCAGTAAGTGTAAACTTTAGCACTTACTTGAAGGTGATCAGTTCAGAGAATCAGGGAGCAACTTGTCACAGGCAGAACTGCAACATGAGCCAGGGAATGACAATAATACTTCACAGAAGAAAAGAAGCCAGGATCATTTTAAGGCTTGTAGGAAAGAGCAGACTGGAGAGAGGACTGGAGATTCACATTAGGGGACTACACGATTCCCAAACAGATGTCTTTTCAGAAGACAAAGTGCATCTGGATGCTAACATTTATAAGGAAGAAGTGGTCAGAATTTGAGGACTGCAAATGTGGTTGAAAGTTATTTGTCTGGCTCCAATATCTTATTTCCAAACAGGGACTATCACACACCCCCTCTTCATTTTCTGTCTTGTTTATCTACAAAGGAGTTACTGTCCTATGCTCCTGTTTTCTTGTTTCTTTGGAGCATGTTAGAGTTGCTCAGGAATGTCCGTTCTCTACTGGGTGGGCAGAACTTGGCTCAGCAGCCCAGTAAACAATTGGGAAACAGCAAAACACTAACATTCAGGGCACCAGAGTCATCACTGTTAAGTAAATGATTACTTTACATTTCGCAGAGGCAGCTGTGATTCGTTAAACCTCACAGGACTGAAGTGCCTGTGTCCACAGCTTAGTACCCTAGACCAACTCACTTTACCTGTGGCATCAGCATCTTTACAGAGTGGTTTCCCCAAGGCTGATGCTACCACCTACCATGTACCACCCACCACTTTAGTTTCTGATTCCTTTCTTCCTTTTTAGTAACATGACAGTAAAGGGGCCAGTCCAGAGCTTTATGAAAATTGGGGTTATAGCATGTTTTCAAGCTCATTTTTTCAAGGTCCTTAAGAGGTTCTGACTGCTGGTATTTTCAGTGGCCCATTTTCCAAAAGGGTCTGGGCTCCCATCTAGAGAACCTGGTCTGCCCTATATTGCTGCAGAGGCTCCGCTGTGTATGTGTCTAGGCTCAGAATGTGGCAGGAATGAGAAATACAGTGTTGGAAGTAACAAAAGACAAAAGGAATTCATTATGATTTCTACATATTTATTTTATCAAAATTCATTTTCAATTTACAACCAATAGTGGGCTAGCTAAACTTTCATTTCACATGTGTGTGTTTAGTGGAAAATGAGCACCTGTTATTTGTTTTGGGTTTATCACCATTTCTGTTTATTAATAAATATTTGTGAATGTTCAACATGGCTCTTTTAATTCATACAAATAAAAATGTTCTTTTCTTGCTTTCATATTTTGGAAATCCAGATCCACAGTTTCTTGACACAATGTTCTCTTAGTCATCCTGGCTATTGTGCAGATTATAGTTAAATGAACTAGAGCTCTCACCCCCAAAAGGTGAGGCAGAGATAAAATGATTAATATATGAGAATGTTCCCTTACAGGACAGTGTGCCACATTACGGTCTCAGAAAGACACAGCAAAAGAAGAATCAAACGGAGTTTCTGAAATTCATTTTTCTGATTCCCCTGTGCTAAGTCTAATATTTTTGTAGGGTTGGAGGTAGAGATCTGAATGTCTTTGGAGCAACCTCACTACATGGTCAGCAGAAAGATGAGATGTTAATTCTATGTGCCTTCTATCTTAGGGCTTAATAAAACTAACAATAACAGAAACATAAATATTAACTCTTGAAGTTGGCTAACAAAAGTGTTTTAAAAGTCTTAACCCTTCTCCCCGGGCCCTCAACTCCAAAAATGAAGAAAAAAAAAAAGGTTTCTTTCTTTCTTTTCTTTTCTTTTTTTTTTCTGATTAGGCAACATGTTTGGTTTTCCCGTCATGCTTAAGGAAGCCCTATCAAGGGCCTCATATATATTGATCCAAAAACTGTTGAAACAAAATTGGGTTCTTGTATCATTTTGTTTTTGTTTTTAACAAACACTAGTTTCCTCTTAGAGAATAACTATTTTCACTGTACCAAATGGGATTTGAGAGGTATAAGAAAACTAAGAACATTGTTGAAAGTGTCACATGATGATTCAAAGTGACACTGTGGGTAGCATACTGCATATACCCAAATTTTATCAAACTGCAGTTTTTTGTAGCTTTTTACAAAAATCTTAAATACAGGTAAACATGTAAACGTCGTGCTCTCAGAGAGCAAGTACTTAGTCATGTCACATCGTATCCCTTTCAAGGAGACAAATTCAAGTAAAATATTACAGGCCAGTTTCAAAACCATCCACTGGAAGTACTATCCGGCTGAGGGGCAAACACCACTTTGCACATGTCCGAGTTCTCTTGATGGAGTGGGAATTCACATCCTGATAACAGGCTTTCCTTTCTTCTCTGAGAGACATAACCTCTGCCTGTGGACAGCCTTTCATACTTTTTCTCAAATTGCCTGTACAAGAGCAACAATAACAAAATTACACACACAGTTAAGTCACCCTACGCCTCTCCAGTCAAGTTACTCAATGTATACTTGAAGTTTCTGTTTTGAAGCAATTTGAGAAAGAATATGAGTGTCAGAGGCTACTCCATGAATGGGTGATTTTACTCTTATTTCTTTTTATATTAACAGAAAGACTTCAAATGCTTGGGATATGGGGGTCCTGCCAGATATTTTTCTAGAATGAAAGACTAAATTCCTTTCAGCTTTTTGGAAATATTGTTAAGCTTTGCAGGCCATGCTGTGCCTCACTCTTCATTCCAGAAGTCCCACCTGGGAGCACTCCCCTTTTGAGTAACAAGCAAGTCCAACTGGATTTAAGCAGAGAATGCAGACAGAGAAACATTCCAAGAGCTCTGACCCAAGTGAAATGTGGAACCAAACCAATTAGTCATGTGGGTGGGTTGGTGGTCACTGCATTTCAACCATTAGAACGTTGTTTTTTTTTTTAATGCATTTGTGGAGGTTTATTCTAGATATGCGTTAATGTAAGCTAGTGACAGCTTAATAGTTTAACTATAATGCACAATCTTTCATTCTGTGAAAATGCAATCTACTCATATTTTCACTTATGTCATTGATGTAATCGATGTATTTTTTAATATGAATCATGAAATGTCAGTAAAATAATGAAGGTACTCAATTCTGGCCTACATATCAAAGGAGATAATGTAAGATGTGGCTTGCTGTTTTAAGTACAGAAATGACCCTTATCGTGTATGTCAACTACTATGAAAGGGGCAGTGCTGCTTAGACCCAAAGCATTCTAGCTCTATGTGATGGTACTGTTAAAAATAATGGTTACAAAATTCAAATAACACAGCATAAATGGAAATTAGGATCTAGGGTTGAAGAGAATTTTGAAAAGTTACATGGAAATTATATCTTTGTATTTTAAAACACTAAAAATTCTACCAAAAGCATTATTTAAAAAAAATTCAAAATCCCAAACTCTGAAACTTGAGCCAAAACCTAAACAGGGTCAAGTTGCTCTTATACTGAATACTTAAGAACTGTGAATTCATTTTGGCCCTTAAAGATGGTAAATGGATTGCCAGGTGTTTTATTTGAACTCTTCTGTCCAGCAGTTCATTGTGGAAGATACCAGGTAGTAAATGTGCATCTGATTTTTTTTTAATGAAACTATGTGGCAACTCCTTTGGTAAATCATAGCCCTTTCCTTCCGTGACAAATTATTTCTGGATTAGAATGTGATACTATCTCCAGAATCAAGTGAACCAGTCATTCGATTTTTTTTGGTATCCTAGGAACTGACATTTTTTGGGGGGGCCTTATCAATTATTCTTCTACTCATTTAAAGAAAATTCATCTTTCACTGGGTTTCTACTGTTTCCTTTTAATTCTGAAACTGAACGTTCTAAACTGAATGCAAGTTCCTGGTGCACCCAGGATGGTCCTGGAACATGACCTGAACGCTGCGTCTTACCTGAATGGAGCCTCATCCTTGTCCATCTGCATGCAAACTAAGAATGGGTACTGAGAAAACTGTACTGTGGAGATAAACTCCAGGCCTGCTTCTGTTTCTGTACTGGTTTCCAGGCCAGCTTTCACGAAAGAGGAGTCCACTGTGATGTCACTAGTTATTACCACAGTCACCCTAAAGATTTGAGAAAAAAAGAAAAAACCTGTTCATATTATATTTAATGGAGTTGGATCAACCGCTATAATTTTATAGGGTCTGAACTTAGGACGCCGGTGACTGGAAGGAAACACTTAAGAGATTCAGAGGTGACCTAGATGTGCTTAGAGTGCTGCTGGTAACCAGGGCCTGGTTAGTCTCAGATATTGGGCAGGGAAGGTTTGCCCTTCCTTCCCCTGAGCTCTCCGCTGCCTCCAGTTGCAAATGTGGGGAGTGTCTTCAAGGTACTACATTGTTTTGTTTGGGCATAACAAAGACCAAAATTAAAACATTCTTGGAACCCAGTCCTCTCAGGAGGTCAGAAATACCCAGGTTATATTAAAAGGGAGTGAAAACTCACCAAGAAGACAATTGACATTTATAGTTTTTGTTAACTACCTCTCTGTTGGCTTCTAGGTAGATATTTTAATTCTATCTCATTACTTTCTTAAAAGAGTCTCTAAAGGCATAAGCCCTTGGTTGCCAAGATATTTGAAAAAATATTGTGTTACAAAAAAATAATTCTTACAGCGAGGCATGTATACAGAAGGTCCCAGGAGGAACAAATGCAGTGGGTCCTTTAATGATGCTCTAGATAACTGGATAAGCAGATTGCATTGGCTGGGGAATATGCTCTGGATAATAATGAAGAGGATAAATAATTTCAATAGAAGGCTTACCTCTACTCTAATTGAATTATGGACTTTATATCAAATTGTGAGAAATTATTTCCACAATTAAATTAGAGTTCCATGCCCATACTTTTTTGACAGGGGTATTAATTTTTGCTGTGCAAAATAAAATCCTGCTGCTATTATGATCAGTATAAAAGTAGGTCAGAGGTTGTTTTAATCCCTGAATCACTTAGAGTACTTTCTGATGTCCTATATTCAGCAAAGGCTTAAAAGATATTTTTTCAAATGAACAAGTGGAAATGGAAGATAGATTGGTTACGACATGAATAACCGTATTTTTCTTAAGAATACTAGGTTGGGGAGGGACAACATGGGGAGAAATGTCAGATGTAGGTGACGGGGGGATGGAGGCAGCAAACCATACTGCCATGTGTGTACCTCTGCAACAATCCTGCATGATCCGCACATGTAGATTTTGTACCCCAGACCCTACAGTACAATTAAAAACAAAAAGAATACTGTATACTTAAAAAAAAAATCCAAATTACTTTTGTTGTTGCTGTTTATTTCTCTTTGGTAAAAATTCAATTCGGCTTAATTTGGAGAAACTTCTGTCTAGAATGTACTTTGGAAAGAGGTGAAAGAATGACTGATTATGTGGGAAGCCCTAAGTCACATTGCTAAAACCTTTGATGACCAGTGTCGTTTTTCATTCTGTGGTTCCTTTTAGTAACACTGTGGGTCACACTTCACATTAAATGTGCTACTGTTTGATTGTTCTCAGTTCCTTCATCTGCAGTTCAAAATGAATCAAAAATTAGATTTTATCACTTTTCTCACTTTTGCCCCAGTGTGTTTTTAAATATCAAAAAAGGCAAAAAAAAAGTTGCATTTTTATTTCCTTTTTAAAAATTCCGTAACAAACAGAAGACTAATAATTTTCATCTTTACACTGGTTCAAAGACGTTGTTTTATGTTCAGAGTAAAACACTTTCATTATATCTAACAGGTAGATTAGAAAAATTTAAGGAGCTTAGAGTATTTTATTTAGAAAAAGGAATGCTGATGAAAAGACTTAAGGACTTCTAATGTTTAAAACTTAGTTTCTGCACAGATGAAATTATCTTTTTATTTTTTCCCACTGAAGAGGAAAGTTTGCTTTAAAGTAAAATTTTTTCTCTTGGTGGAACACCAAAAGAAGATGAACCATCTGATTCACAGGGCAGCCTGTCTATGTATGTCTTTAAAAGCAGGGAAATTCTTGGCTGAGTTGTATTAGATACTGACATGTTCATAAGAAGCTATGGACAGAATAACTTCCCATGATCACTTCCAACTGTATCATTTAATGATTACAAATAGAAAGCATAGATTTTTTTAAAAGTCAGAAGGTTAATTCTCAAAACATCTCTCTGAAGTTCTCTGCATAGAGTATTATATGTAATTCATAAAAGTATAATGCATAAATGCTTACCTATTTTTCACTCGGGTTTTAGACTCACGATACCACAAGCTAAACTCCATTGCACCTGAAATATCAATAGCTAGACCACCCTGGACCTCTATATTTGCTTTTAGTCCAGATTGTAACTGAAGTTCCTAGAAGGAAAAATAAAAATAATACATACAATTTAGTTAACCCCTTTTCCAACGGCACATTTGACCTCCTGCTGTAGATAATTTCATGTGAGTTGTGTTGATGTTGAAGCCTTTCTCTAGGCTTGGAAACATGCCATCCTAATCTTGATCACCAGAAGTAGACTCTGTTGATTTGCTAAATGAAGTACCAATTAAGAAGGGTGTTTTCCTTCGATCATTGCTACACTTTGAAAGGAACAGTGGTTCTCAAAGTGTGTTCCTTTAAGGACCATCATCAACATCACCTGGTATGAAATACCGATTTATCAGCTCCCCTTCATATCTACTGAATTAGAAACTCTGAGAATGGGGTCTAACAATCTATGTTTCAACAAGCTTTTGTAGGATTCTGATGCACCTAAATTTGGAAACTTATGAACTAAGGAAAATGAAGGCATCTCCATCAGACATCTAACTGTGGCTTTTTGTCCAAGGAAGTAAGGGGAGGAAGTTTGGACCAGGTAATCTCCTGATGTCCTTCAGCACTTCTCTACTCATATACTGTGTCAAATAGAGTCAACTGCATCTTAGTGGAAAATAAAAGACAAGATTTAAAACTTATAGTGGAGTGTAGTTATCTGTTAGTATCTGAAGGCAACTGGTATGTTAATATCTGAGGGCAACTGGTTACAGGACTACCTTCACTGAACCCTGAGTATAACAAAATCCAAGGGTGCTCAAGGCCCTTATATAAAAAGGCACAGTATTTTCATGTAACCTACATCCATCCTCCCATACACTTTAAATCATCTCTAGATTACTTCTAATATCTATTACAATGTAAATACTATGTGGCTATTATGCTGTATTTTAAGAATTATATTAATATTTATTGTTGTGTTGCTATCTTTTATTGTTTGGGGGTTTTTTTTCAAATAATTTTTGTCTGAGATTGGTTGAATTTGATGAGGAACCAGCAGTTATAGAGAGGCCAACTGTATACAAGTTCCAGGAATTTCCTACATCCAACTAGAAAAAGAAGGCAAAGAAATTTAAGCCTTAATATCCTGCTGTTTGGCATTTAAAATGACACTGAGTTCATTTTAAATGGTCAAGTTCAACATGAACTCAGTAGCATTTTTCAGAGGGATAATAATTATTTACAAACATAGCCATCCTGAGCAATTTTGTGGTTGTCTGAAACCCATTGTTTTGTGCTGTTTGCTGCATTTAGCTTTTAAGTCTTGCATTTTTTTCATGTACAGTAGTTGAGATGATGTTAGCAGAAAACTTTTTAGCTGGATTGGAATCAGATTGCCTGGGGACATCGTTGGAAGTGATAATGATTCTGGAGAAAAGACTCAGTATCCTTAATTTTGATATTCCTCCAAAGATCTTAAATTCCTGGCAACCAACAGGATGACTAACTTCTTTATGTAACTGCCCTACTCAGACCAAACAAGCCAAGCATTTGCCAACTATAACTGCCATGATTTCACTTTCTAGAAAGGATTGTGTTGATCTCCCTGAGTTCTCTCCATTTTCCAAAAAAAAGGTAACAGGAAATCCTAAGCCAAGGACTTCCTGGGTTGTACTAAAAAATTACAGTTGTAGCATGAAGCTACTTTCAGTCTGAAGGACACTCTGATGGAAGCATGAGATTCTCAGTGCCATGCTCAGGACACGTTAGGAGATAGCCCTAATGGCACTTAAAGAGATATTTGGTATAGAACAAAATATATGGGATGAAGGGGTTGTCTCAGGCATTACAACTAATGTGATGGACACAAACTATCCTGAGGAAACCATAACAGTCATGCTCACTTTTTCACCCATGCCTGTGAACTACAGGACCATAACATGAGAGTTCTGTATGTCCATTGCAAACATGTTTGTTCCCAAATGAAAGCTATGGTGTGCCCTGCCTGAGAAGTATTTCTTTCTTTGCATCTTTTTCTCTCTCCCTAATTTGAAAATTATAATCTTGGTCATCCACCCAGTCCAGCAGAGACCTGTGATGAGGACCTTGGCCTTCCCACCAACCATCTATTAAGTGGAAGGCAAAATACACCAAGTGCCATAGAAAAGATCATTTCATGGCTGTTAGATAACATACCTTTTATGGGGAGAGAGCATTTCCATTGCGAGGTGGGTTATGAGATATGCCTTCGATTTCTGGGAAAATTCCACTTTTTTTACACAAAGGGACAATAGAAGAATGCCTATGTGCAAAGAGGAATTTTCTTGGATCCCCTTATAAAGATAAACCACTGACCCCTGTAGAAAAACAAAGCACTCTTTCTTTGTTGAAAAGGACTAGGCCATATGGTGCTAATTTTTAAGCAGTATGAAGTATATGTAACTAACAGGTTTTAAGCACCTACTGTGTGCCCAAAGCTCTACAAAGCTTTGGTGTCTCATTTAATCTTCATACCAATCTTCCATGGTAGGCATTATATTTTAAGATTGAAAGGAAAAACCAGGCTCAGAGGTTACACATGGAGCCAGAATAAATACTCCGACTGTCTCTAGGGTGAAGACTTTTTCTTTCTTTCTTTGAGATGAGGTCTTGCTCTGTCACCCAGGCTGGAGTGCAGTGGTGATCATGGGTCACAGCAGCCTCAACTCTTGGGCTCAAGCAATCCTCCCACCCCCCACCTCAGCCTCCTGAGTAGCTGGGACTGCAGGCATAGCCCGCCATGCCCAGCTAATATTTTTATTTTTTGTAGATCTGGGGTTTCACCATGTTGCCCAGACTGGTCTCAAACTTCTGAGCTAAAGGGATCTACCTACCTTGGCCACCCAAAGTGCTGGATTTCAGGCATGAGCCACTGCATCTGACCTGGGTGAAAACTTTTCTACTAATATTCATGGCTATCACAAACTCATAACTCTCTTTTGCCTCCTGGTGCACAAGAAAGCCTGTTCTAAGAAACATTGCAAAAAAAGAGAGCATAGGTTTATGTCCTTGTTTGGCCCAGAGTATACATTTATTTGGATTTTTTTCTTATGAACCAGAGGAAAAAGACATTAGAACTTTGTATTTGTAGCAAATGTGACTGCTTTGATCCTCTTGGTCCCACAAGTGTTTCTTATAGCTCAGATGCTGACGTTCTGATAACTCATCCTGTTGCTTCCATTTAGGGAAATATATTCTTTAGTAGCTAAAGAGGATCCCCTTATTAAACTGACTTTATCAGACACCTTTCTCTGAAGGGTAATCCAATTAGCTGAAGAGAGAAAGTGTGAGCAAGCACAGAGCAATTCCACCTGTCCTGATGGCTGTGATGGGCCACCCACTGCCAACATTTCCTTTAGTGTCAGCACTTGACCTAGAGTGGTATGTGCCTCTGAAGCTAGGATGGCATTACTGGAGTGCTCTGCAGAGCTGGGGGCCTCAGACAACTCAATTTGTATGAAAATCTCAGATCTGCCAAATACTCCAACCTGACACACAGACATTGGGCTATGTTTAATAGCTAAAGGACAATCTTTCTCACAGAATATGCCTTACCTTAGCTGCCCTAGCTTAGTGAATAGAAAAACTGTACAAGATAATCTAGATCAGTGATTGGCAAACTATGACCAGCAGGCAAGTCTGGCCCACTGGCTATTTTTGTAAATATAATTTTATTGGAACACAGCCATACTCATTTGTTAATGTATTGCTGACAGCTGTCTTCACTCTACAGTAACAGAACTGAGTGGCTGCAACAGCGGTCATGTGGCCTGCAAAGCCTAAAATATTTACTTTGTACCCTTTATAGAACAAGTTTGCTGACCCACGTCTAGATTACTCCTTGTGGTTTTACACCCCAATTCAAATCCTCAGGCATTGTTCATGGGTAGTGAAGCACATACAGGTAGTGTTGAGCTGTCCTCTGTGTCTTAAAACGTGGATTATTTTTACAGTATTATGCTGCCTTTTAGATGATTCTTTCATTAAAACTGGAATTGTGCGATGTAAAATTCTGAAATAATTTGACAACTGTTTTTTTCATGTGTGACTTGAGGATTAAGGGATACCACAGGTACTGCTATTTGTCCTTTCTACATTTGTATTGACAGAAACAATTTTGTTCAGACTGTCTATGCACCCATTGAAAAACTATGTTCACAAGCTGCCCTTTCAGCTAGAGATAGCCGTGTAACACCGTTTTGGTCCATAACCTAGACAGGTTTCCAAAAATGTTCTTGAAAAAAGAGTCAGACTCTGTGACCCCTTGTCCTTCCCATTTTTCATCTTGGAATGAGGAAGTGGTGCTGGAAGTGGAGCAACCATCTGATAATCAGAAGGTGACAAGCATGAGGTCAAAAGCCACAGGTAAGAATGGCTGAGCTGAGGGAAGACAGCTTGGATTCTGATGATATCTTAAGGTTTCCATATTAACCCTGGACCACCTACCTCCAAATGTTTGTTACACTATAAAAATCAAACTATTCAATTAGGCCACTCTAAATTGTTTTTTGTTTGTTTGTTTGTTTTTGTTATATACAGTCATCCTAAGCTGATATGAGGAACAAGAAAGATAGAAAATTAACACTGTTTAACCTCAAATAATGAAGTTTTAGAGGAGTTTTAATACAATCTAATATCTAAAGTATCCTCCAGCCCTTAAAAATCTATTATTTCATAAACAGAACCTAACAAATAAGAATCCTCACATTATCTGGCAAACAACAAAGCTGATAAAATCTTCAGACTATCTGTTCCAGGTGCCTCATGTTGTTAGTAGGAAATTTTGGTTTAAGGCCGTTAAGTAACTGCTCAAGAACACATAGCAAGAAGGTAATGAAGGCAAAATTCAAACCTAGGCTATTACCCATTCATGAATTAAACCAAAAAAAGTAAACTTCAGAAGTCAATCCTATCATCTGTAAATTTTTACTTCAATCTTCTTATATATTCTCAGTATAATAAGTATGATTAGAGTACACAGTTATCACTTTGATTACCTATAAAATATTTAGCAAATATTTCATTTTTTATATTGCTATGCTTAGTGAGGCAGAAAATAAATTAAACCATTAAAGAAAAATTTTAAGCACCAAACATTCAAACTAAAGGTTATTCAGATTAACTTTCTTCTGCTTTTCAGAAAATCTAATTAGCCTGACCATCTCCATCATACAGTATATTGGCCAATTAATCTTCCTGCACCAAAGATAGTAGTGTCATTTTTTGGTACAGTATTGTGAGATTTAGGGCCACAAAAAATTGAAAACCATTTTGAAGAATATGGCTTAAGAGAATGAAAGTAATCCTATACCCTACACATAAACACACCTTTCTAAGATTTTATAAACATGAGAATTTTGGGCAAAGAATCTTCATGAAACATGTGGCTGGTGACAGTGGTTGCTTGTGCCTTTACTAATTTGGCAGGGTCAGAATGATGCACTATATGCATCTTCATCATCGCTGTCATTACAAATGTCATCAGTAACTTATAAGGCCACATAGTTCAGCTCCTGCCTTCAGGATAAATATCACCTAAGCCCTCATGCCAGGAAAGCCAAGCAAGGAGACAATGCTAGCTCTACTCTGTTGTGTCCTAACTTTTATTCTTTCTGTTAGCATCAACATTTTCTCTTTGCCTCAAATTAAAGGCACTTTTTAATCATCTAATAAATGAAATCGTAACATATCTACAGTAAAGGAGAAAGGGCAACAATACCAAGAGGGCAAAGTGCTTAGAATATGAGCTCCAAGATGGGCATGATTTTGTCTTGTATCCTCCAAGAATATTTAAAATGTGCCCGGCATATTTTAGGGACTCAATAAATACTCACAGACTGGATGAATTACCTGAGAATGATCTATTATCAGAATAAGTCCTTTCACCACAGTGATAGGGTCGCCAGATGCTGACAGCATTTTGGACATCAAATCACTATATCCGTTGAAAAAAGTGACAGGTCTGAGCTGAACATCAAAGAGGATGGCTGACATGCCAGCATAGGAGTCAAGGTTCTCCTCCCCCTCATCAGGGGTGGCTGCAATTAAGGCTTCCAGTCCTTGGGCTTCAATAACCACCTGGAGAAAATCAATATAATGTTCAAGACTCAAGCTCCCTGCCTGCTCTGTAAATGTTGGTGAAGCTTTTCAGCTGCAGCTAGAGCTTTCCAAAGGGCCAAAACCTCAAATATTTGCAACAGCTAAAAGCAAAAAATAAGGTATAGACAGAAACCTCTATACCTGAATATAAGGTGTGTTTGTTTTTCATTTAATTTTAACAACTACTCTTTGAGGTACATATGATTTTACCCATTTTGCAGATGAGGGAAAAAACGGTCTCAAGTTTACTCAGCTAATAAATGTCAGAGGCAGGACCCATACCCCTTCTGTCTGACTATGAAGACCATGAGCTTTCCATTTTATGATGTCATTCTAAAGACTCTTAGTCTTTCTAGGACTGTCATATACAGTGCATCAGCTATCTTGCAAAGCATCTAAAAGGAGATGGAAAGGTGGTGACAGAGTCATTCTAAGGCTGCTGCTAGGTGAGGACATGGTATTCTCTAAGCCACGACACACACCAGTCCATGTCAAACTCTTCTCCCTAGCCAGAAAAAAAGAAGTCAATCAACACTATGAGGGGCTCACACCCTTATTTCCACCACACATAGGAATCCTACATAGTTTCTGTCCTTCATATTCAGTCCTTTAACCCCTGGGTATTTTGCATTTTGAAGTACATAACAGAAAACAGATGGTGATTCCTCAGGATAGAAGGGCATAGTATTCTGACTATAGTACTATCAAAAGGGATAGTAATATAATATTGACATAAAATTGAGTTTGTATAGCATTGGATCATTTAAAAAACTTAAATGACTGTATTTACAAGGTTATAATTTGATGTGCATAAAAACTAAAAAGAAAGCACATGTCATTATTAGAAAGCCTTTATAGACCATCACCTCAATTTGGATAAAACTAAAAGGATGGAAATCGGCCAGGTGTTGAATGCCCAGACTTTTTTCTTTTCTCTCCTACTAGTGTTAGAGAAATGTAGATTGACTCTTTAGAGAGTCATATTCTATTATGAAGGGTTTTATTATGGGGAATCAATCTCTTCATAGAAACACCCAGAAAAGGAATTAATATATTCTAGAATTAAATACTTGGGGGTGAGGAAAGGCTAAGAAATATATCTGAGAACAAAAATAAAATATTGGTACAATTTCAGTTTTGTGAATATGTGCACCTTCGAGAACAGAAATGGACATTTGGCATGTCCAATGAATCAAATTACTTAAGTTTCAAGTTCATATTTGAAACTTTCTCTGAGTGACTATAAGCCATACAGCCTCTTACACACGAGGGAATCATGGGCAAAATATGACAGAAGCTACATTAACTTATACATTCTATAGTGTTACCAACAGTATATATGTTTTATTTTATCTCATCCTTATTTTCTTGCATACTTTATTAAGCAAAAACCATGAGAAGTGAGTTACCTGGCTGCCGTGAAGACCAGCCTTCCCAATGTACTGAAAGATGTTGAGGTTACTTCTCCTTAGAATGCCAGAACCCGAGTAAAGAATGTCTAGGCTGTAAGTAGACGCCGAGTGGGGACTACCTGATGGCACACAATAACTGTAATTTAATAGCAGTTCCAGCAATGCTAAGTTGAGGGGCATGGAAGGAGAACCTCTTTTTGGTGTACATACGTTCTATGTAGCCAGTGTAGGCAGAAGAGGATCCGCTCCTGGAGAAACGGTCATAATTGTGAGCGACCATTTCCTTCAAAACTCGACGGATCATTTTGCTGCAACATATGAAAAAAAAACACATTTATTGTAATGACTTTTCCAAGTCAAATTTTGGAAAAACAATTCCTCAGTGGAAAAAAGAGGAAGCCAAATTTTCCTCATGCCTCCCCATGAGCCCGGGTGGTGCCTGCTGGCATGGTAGCATCGGGATTAGCGCTAGCCTCTTCATTACTCAAATATTTGAAATTTAGTTTAGTATCAAAATGACAGCAAGGCAATGGTGTCCAGCTTTGTGGTGGCTTAGGTTGACTGGTAGACACATTTCAGGCATGGCAAACACATATTCTTTGATTTGTCATGGTTTTATGGTTAAATAGTGCCTACATTTAAAGGAAAATCATACCAAACTGAGGAGATTGCACAATATTTCTTTAAATATTTTTCTGCATTCTCGAATAGTCTCTCACTAATGACATATAACAGTGCACTTCCAGTATTTCTTCTATATATGTGAAGTTTTCAGTTACAGAATCAGCTCAGTAAAACCTATATAGGAACCATTGTTTCCTCTGGAGTAAGTCTTAATGCTTACCCCATGCCTCTATCTTGTCTAAGTAATCCGTGTTAAGATGTTTTCATTTCTGATTACATAACACTAATCACATAAGTAATAGTAACATCATGACAACACAGCAAAACATCAAAATAATCAACTAAAGAAATATGGACCTAGGTCTCAGGTAGAAAATAATTGAGGGGAGGGAATGGCATCCTGAGAGGTTTCCCCTCCAATATCGCTAGGTTATAAGATTTTACCTAGACAAGCAAAGATAAGGAATGTCATGACAGCTGTCCTCAAATATTCAAAGGTTCTTCTTGTGGATAAATGATTAGATGTATTTTGTTTTGCTCCTGGGATAAAACCAGAGCCAACAGGAAGATTTCAGGTTAAACAAAGACATAATGGTAAGAGTCTCTGAATAACACTGGCACAAGTTCCCTCAAAGATGGCAAAGTGTGAATACCACCTGCTGGGAGACTATAGTTCTACAGAGAGATACCAAGCAAAGGAGCCTTTACTGTTCCTCCCCACTGTAATGTTTTTGGTTCTGAGACTGACCCATAATGTTGGTGATACCTTCCTCACAATTCATAGGCTGCTCTCTACCCCACTGTCTCCTCTTTCCAGTTCCCTGAAAGGTTAGGGATATGCCACAAGATAAAGGCAGCAAGTACACCCAGGATCTCCTCCACAGGTTCTCATAAAAGCAAGCAAAAAAATAGAGGGAGAAGCTAAATATATTCAACTAGAAATACATGGCTGGAGAGAGACCTGGCTTCTTTTCTCACTCGCTCACCTGCTCCCTTCCTCTTTCCTGAATGTCCTGCTCTTATCTCTGTTCCACTCACACCTGTTTCTTATATCTTCCTTCAGACTTCTTAGTCCTTGTTTCTCTTTCTTTCAACCTCTTAATGCTCTCTTTTTCCATTTTCTTTCTCTTTATTTTCTAGCCTCCTGATCTCTATTTTCTTTTTCCATGGTGAATGCTTAAATTTGATCCTTCCTGGGGGTAGCATTCTACATGTAACTCAGGAAAAATGAAACTTCCTTCTCTGACCCTCTAATTCCAGGGAGGAGGCACCTTGGGGGCTCCACTTTGGATATGGGAGGAGAGACTTGGGAACTAGAAGGAAATTAATTCAGAAAGAGTAATAGAGTGATGAAGTCTACTGATTGCACTCTTTAAACTTTGAATCATCCTAAAATGTGGGACATGCCTAAGATTTTAAACTTAAATGGGAAATCTATTTGATCTGTGATAAATGAGGCTTCAAAAATTCCTAACATTTGAAATGGTACAATGAAAAACCATTTGGTAAGAATTTATGTTGTTTTGTTATACTATTTATTTAAAAACTCCTGTTGAAAATATAGTTAGCTTTTAGAACATTTAGCAATATACATTTCCCAGACTGAACAAGACATCCCTAGTCAAAATTATACCTAGAGTTCCCACTCATGGACTCATAGAGCCAAAGTGAAGTAGTTTCATCAGGTCCACTGAATAGCCCTCTTATGGGAAATTTGGCACTGTTTGGTTTTATGCAATGTAACCCTGTAGAATGACCATATCATTATTATTAGCTACTTGTGTACCACATGATCACACAAATAAGCTTGAATACACAGAGGCACATGTGCAATATATTATACCTTGCAGGCATTTCAAAACGTAGGATGTCTTGAACAATGGAGAGCATGTATTTATTCATTTCTTGTGGAAGCTCCCCAACAGAGAGCAGGATGTTCTTGACTTCCATGTACGATGGATTGTTATTTAAAATAACAGCAGCTGCAGTAGTGCGCACAGTCTTTTCATGAACTTTATGGTTTTGGTGGTATATTCTGTTCAAGGTCTTCTTCACCTGTTTGCAAGATGTTCAAACTTAGTTCACATCCAGATTTTTAAAATGGATATTTCAGCAGGAAAAGTGAGTGTTCATAAAAATATACATGTGTTACTATATTTCCCAGGTTTCTTTGTGATTTGGTGGGGGATATGTGACTAGTTCTGGCTAATGGGCCATGAGCAGAATCTATGTGAGTCACTTCTAGGCTGAGGCCGTTAAGAGCTGGTATGCTTTCTCCATCTCTTTCTTCCATGACTAGTGAACTTCAGACCATGTATTTCCTTATTCACATTAGGCATAGCATGAGAAATAAACTTTTAATAAACTGCTGAGATTTTTGAGGGACATTTGTTATTGCAGCATAACCTGGTGTTACCTAACTAATACAAAATTTTAAGGCTACTACATGGCAATGGGGCTCTGGAGAGAGGTAGTTATATGAAGTTTTCTTACAATGAAGTACCTCACAATCTTCCCATCTCTCTCTTTTTTAATTAAGAGACTTTTTAAAGGGCAGTTTTAGGTTCACAGCAAAATTGAGTGGAAAGTACAGAGAGTTCCCACACACCTTCTAACCCTACACACACGCAATCTCCCCTTCTATCAACAACCTGCACTTCAGTGGTACATCTTTTACATTCAATAACCCTACCTGGCTCTTCATTATTATCCAAAGTCTGTAGATTACATTAGGATCCTCTTGTTTTCTAAACAAAATATTAACATCAAAGCAAATGTGCCAAAATAATGGCATTTCATAGCAACAAGTAATTTCGTTGATTATTAGAACTGCCTAACAACATGCAATGTGTAAGAATCTATACTAAGCATTTACAAATACTTCTTTAATTCCATTTTCCTTTATTTTTTACTAACTCCCTCAAATCTTGGCTTTGCTCTCAGATATGTAGATATCAAATAAGTCACATAAGAGCAAACAACCAGGGAATGACAGAGCCAGAGTTTACATGTAGGTCTGTCTTTCTCAAAAGCCTATACCCCTAACCATTATGGTTTGCAGCCACCAACTTCAACACAAAACTGGTGGGAAGGTGCTTAGCTACAAACTGGAAACACCATTCTTGGCAGATGGTTTATCTTGAGGTTTATACACATTCTCTGCCCTAACAAAAGTTTAATTTAGATGGCTTCCTGAAAAATGTAGTTGTAATGACAAAGTTATACTTGAACCAGGATATTTCAGTATTGAAAAATGTAACAGCATCTTAAAACTTATAAAAGTAAATATATTTCAAAAAAGAATTTGTTTCTTAAAATAAGAGAATATGCTTCAATATTTATGCTTCTGGATATAGAACGTTATCCTATAAGGATATTTAGAATAGCCTCAAATGCAATTTAAGAGTTATTTTTAAGCAGGAGAGAAGACTATTTGGGGAAAATATAGAATGACTTGAGAGGAATTTGCATTTGACTCATATTCAGACATGCTTTTTTTCCTTCTGTTCAAGTTGCAAATATTCTTGGAGATTTTACCTCATCAGTTATGAAAGGGAGATCATATCTCTGGAGAGTAGTGGTAGCGAGGTGGCTGATGTGCCCTTCTCCTGCTTCTGCATACTTCAGAAGAAGTGGGACGCCTTCTGGAAGCAGGGCATTCTTCAGAGCCAGCAGATACATTGTAGTATCCTCTTTTTTCCCTGCTTTTTCAAGTCCTCCCAGTATTAACTTCTTGGCTTCCACTACTGCCTGAAAAATAATATACCTTAGATGTATGCATGACCATACATTGAAGAAGACTTGGACAAGACTGGATTTATTCTTGGGTCCAAGAAAGCAACCTAAAGTTTTACAAAGTTTTGCATTGGTTGCTTGACTAAGGCACACATGGAATAAAAGCAAACAAGTAAAACCTGATAAAGATATTGTGCTTTTCAAAAAATACATATACTAATATATTATTAAGAAGCAATGAGTATTATCAATAATGGGCATATTTAGTTTTGAACATATTTGGAATATATAAGGCCACTTTTTAATTTCATTGTGATTGATTACTCATAACGACTGCTCGTTCGCTGAATTTCTGAAGCAACAATTAGAACCTTAGTGTCACTATACACCTTTCCTTAAGTAAGAACTTGGGTGAGACGTCTTAGAGCTCGACCACAAGGTCTGGCTCTAAATGTTTTAAAAGTGCTTGTTTGCACTTAATTCCAGATTTAATTAATGCTGCAATACAGTTCAAAATATATTTAAGTACCTTCTATGAGGTAGGTACTTTGCTAGGTATTTTTCAAATATGTTCTATAATCAGAAAAGGCCTTTTGTCCTAGTCTGAAAAAAAGAGGGATTGAGTGTGAGTTAATAGTTTAATGGGAAAGCAAATTAGAACATCTGGGTTCTGGTATTACATTTGCCACTACATGTGTTTTAGAGGCTTCAGTTTCAAGTTTAAAATAAAGATTCTTTGGATGACAGAGCCTAGGCTGAAAATTAAAAAATAAAAGTAAAGGTTTTAAGATCTAATTCATCCACTGGATTCATAACCTCTGAAATTAGGCTGCAGGCACACACACACACACACACACACACACACACACAAACACACACAGAGGGTTGAGAAGAAGGAATGATATGAGTGAGAGTAGAGGAGAAGTATTAACCAAAGACTCCCAATAGAAGATGCTAAACATCACACTTAATCAGAGAAGTGACATTTCTCAACAATCAAACTGGCAAAAAATTCAAAAGTTTGCTAACATATTTTGTAGGTGATACTACAGAGGAATAGGCCTTTTCAGAAATTGCTGATGAAAGCCTAAAATGGTACAATTCCTATAGAAGATAATGTGACAAAAACCAACAGAACTGCTTTTTGACCAGCAACTCTATCCCTGAAGCTACATCTCAACAATAGCAAAAATCTGTGCCTAAGATTATTCACTTTGGCATTATTTGTAATAGCAAAATAGTGGAGGCCACTTACGTGACCATATATAGGAGATGTTAAATAAAACTTAGTCCATAGACACAATGGAGTACTAGGTAGTTGTTAAAAGGAATGAAAAACATCTCTATGAAGGGAATATTTTCATGATATATTCTTAAGTGGAAAATGTAAGATACAAAAAGATGTATGTATAGAATGATATATTTTGTGCAAAAAATGTATGTAAGTGTGTGAACATATTTTAACTGTAGCAAAAATAAAGAGAAAACAATTTTAAAACCAGTGATTTTGTTTACCTAGAGGAAGTAGGTGAGATTGGGGGAAAAGGATAGAGAAGCAAATGAGACCTCTTTGATAATACTTTTAAAACACAGTTTTGCCTTTTAAAGCACATTACTGCTTCACATATTCAAGAAGTAAAATTCAATCAACAGGACAAAAAGCTATCAAAATTCAATTTAACCAGAAACAAATGAGACTTCATGCCCACCAACTTGATAATATGGTTGAACAAAAGAGAGAAAAAAAGAATTATTCTCAGCAACTTTTTAGCATAGAACCTTGTGTACACATGACAAAATATATTCTAAGGACAAAAAGAACTATAAGAAAGTCTTGACTGTGCACTTGTCTAGCTGCCATTCAAACTGTCATAGGACAGTAGCTTTCATGCTAGTAAGTGCTGGAAGGCTATAGAACTACATAGAATGGCAGGTACCTTTTGGACAGTATACATATAGTGTGCCCAGTAGCTACCTTAAACTTGTGCTTATTTAATAGAATGCATACTTTTCTTTCTTTCCTTTTACATATCTTTGATTTGCGCAAAAGGCAGATGAGTGTTCCACAGCAGAAAATTCAAAAGAAAAATTGAACATTTACTACAGTTGTTCTGTAGTAAACTTACTACAGCCAAATCTCATCATCCTCAAAGATGAAAAAAAGAAGTTTGCTCAAAAACATTCACAAAATTGAATGCCCGTAATAGCAAATGGCTTGCAGCTACCTTCAAGGTAATTTTAAAGCTGTGATGAGAACCAGATTGTCCATTATAATAAGAACTTTGACTATGATCCTTTTCTCTGTTTCTTTATGCTACATGACTTTCCTAGGTAACCTCATTCTCTTTCAAGGTTTCTGTAACTCTCTATTTCTAACCCTAACGTCTCTCCCGAGCTGCAGGTGAATGTGGATATCGCAACCTGGTGGACAACTGAACCTGGTATTGGACAACTGAACTTGATGACCCAAAGGATTTCGAACTTAACCTGGCCAAGCAAACTAATAGCTCTGCTCTCCTCCCACCCGCAAGCCAGGCTGTATAAACCTTACTTCAGTGGTTGGCATCACCACACACCTGATATCCTTACCTAAAAGCTTTAGAGTCACCTGGATTCTTATGTCTTTCTCATTTCCCACATATTATCGGTCACTAAATAAAATGGTCCTTGAGTCTATCTCCTCTCACTCACCTGCCCCTACATTAATTCAGACCTTTACTAATTCTTGCCTAGGTTATTGCAAATGCTTCCAGTCAGATCTCACTAACACTAATCCAGTAAACAATCAGTCCACACAACATCTTGCTTCTTTCTTAATAAAACGTCTGTCATTCGCCTGCCTAAAGATTTAACTGGTCTCTTCTTTCTGTAGAATGAAGGCCAGGCTCCTTTACTTGTTATTATTACTTCTCTTCCCATCTCTCCTGTGTCTCCACCCTCAGTTGTCTGTCCCCAGAAACATATGTATTTTATGTTTCATATAAAATATGAACCACAGAATCTCTCACTGTTCCCAAGCATACCAGGCTCATTTTGACTTTTGGCCTTTTCATACATTGTTGTATGTCTCCTAGAATGTCCTTTATTCCATACTTTGACCTCTTCACTTGAAAACCTCTTCTAGACCAAGTGCAAAAAATTGTTATTTTGGTGAAAATGTCTCTAGCACACTCAAACAGAAATGTTGCTGCATCTTCTGTATTGTCTGAACACTTCGTTTATATTGTTTATATTTGATAAACAGACTAGGAGCTCTTTGAGGATGGTAGAATATTTTATGCATCTTTATATCTAAGGATTAGCATCATACCTAGCAAAGAGTAGATGCTCATTAAATACTGCTGAATAGATCTTTTGACATGTGGGTTTTACCTAGGCCAAGATATTTAATACACAAATAGCTGAAGTAAATCAGCTACTCAAATAATTACGGAAATTAAAAAATATAAGAAGTCATGGTTCCCTAGTATATAAGTCTGATTTCTGCCAGAACTTAGTAAGTTAATACTCAAACCTTTTCAATACTACTGTTTTTTAGTGATCTTTTTCATACTTAATGTACATTCTAGTTTTGGCTTGCCTCTTTTGGAACAATTTGGTTTCAAGAACATTTCCCTGCTATTTTTAATAGCAAGCCCTTAGTAAGCAAAATAATACATAATGCTGTCTGAAGTAGAAAAAATGCTGACTGGACACTGGCTGTATAATGTAGACAGAAAAAAGACTGTTTTTAAAAAAATATATTTAGCATCTTTATTTGCATTATAGAAAGATGAGCTGTATTAGACATGAATCTATTCTGGTTTTCCATATTTAATTATACTTAAAAAGTGTTTTTGCTTTATTCTTTTTAGTAAGAAAGATGTGAAAATTGATAGTCCACTGAGGCAAGTGGAAAAGCTTTAGGTAAATGAAATTGAAAATAAGATATAAAATTCTCTGTAACTAAATTCCTACTATTAAAACTTGAAAGTGCAAACCACACTTATTATAAACAAAGTTCTGCTCTAGGAGATAGCCTTAGAATCTAACATTTTTTCTGAAACAGGAAGTATATCATACAAACCATTTAAAACTGAGTACATAGTGGGCACTCAATAAAGTATGTGGGTAGGGAGATTATTGTACTATTCACTTTTTAGCAAGTCTTATACTAAGTATTATCTATGTACCAGAAACTGGCAAGCAAAAATAGAGATTCATTTCTTCGTGGAACTTACATTCTAGTGATATAGAAAGATAAAATAAACATAATAAACAACTGAATTGTAACATGTCAGATGTCAAAAATTGCTATGCAAATAAGGTAAGTCGAATAAAGAGAATTAGGAGTGCCAACAGCAGGCAGCATGGTGAGTATCCAATAGGACGATGGTGTAGAATGATATAATACATGAGATTGGATTTGCACTTACTTTGAGTTTGCAGCCTTCATTCTGACACAACTTTCTGACAAGTGCCCCAATGATGATCATAACAGTTTCTCTGATGTCACTGCTCCCAATAGAACCTTTGAACTTACTCTATTAACCAAACAGGGATAAAACAGGTTACCAAGACATTTGAATATTTCCAAGGAACACTTAGTTAAATAAAAAAGTAACCAATACATACTTGAGAAGGTATTTTTATGTTTCTAGATTGTAAACTCAGAATTTTGCTTCTGAGACACTTACACTTTTGCTATCTAGCTTTGAACTGAAGAGTTAATTCCTTTTCAGGGATTTTTAAACCTGCAGTATAGGGAATTCTTAACGCTGGGGGTTTATGGATTGTATTCATTGGGTCAGTGAACAACAACAAAAAAAGGGGGTTGTAAAATTTTACGTATGAGTAAAAAGGGGATTCATCACTTTTATCAGAATCTCCATGGGTACATTTTCCAAAAGGATTATGAACTATTCCACTCAACAACAGGTAGACAAGTGCACTTAAAAAGAAAACAATCTTGGACGCAAGAGAAGTCTAATTTTTGTTTTCAACATTAATCTTTAACAGCAGAAGAATTGTATCACTTCAATGCAGGCTTATTAAATATGAGAATTTTTGAAGCTAAAACAAATCTTTTAAAATTGATTCCTGAAGCATAACTAGACTTCTCCCTGCTGAAATTCTGTCATATGCTATATAACATGATAGGTGAACACAATCTTTAAATTTCCATTTAGTTTACACTATTTAGTGAAATTGCAAAGAAGGCACTAAGTGAAATAGTTTATTGTACCTTTAATAATTAGTGGATAGAAAATAACCCAATTTGCATATGAATACTCAGAAGTCTCTAGTTGATAGCCTTCATTCTGTTCTAAGAAACCTTTAATTACTGTTTATATTCTTAAGAAATTTTATAGGAGCTAAGGGCCTTTATTTTCTCAGTGTCTATTTGACTTACAATGAGGGCTCGCAGGAGTTCTTCATTGGGATGAGAGGCAAATCCACAGGCATAGAGAAACCTCTCCTGGAGAATAACGCTACTGTCACTTTTGAAATCCAAAAAGTCCAAAATGGCTTCTAATGAGTCTGAGGTCTGAGCAGATGTGACAGCATCTACCAGCTGAGGTCTATTAGAAAAAAAGGCATAATCATGGATATCAATGTTTAGGGTAAGGAATACTTAAAAATCTCTACCACTCACAGACTCTCTATTGGCTTGAAAAGACTTTTTTTTCATTTAAACAAATGAAAAAATGATTAAGACTTTCTCAAAAATACCCCTTCCCATTTTAATTTTCTCCCTTAATGCCTTTCTCTCTTACTCGAACAATGTATACTCGAACAAAATATACAAACTAATTTTACCATATTAACTAATCCAAGTATAATTTGAAGATTTGTAAATAAAAATTACATAAATACAATTCTAAATTAAGTTCTAATTCTTCCCTGTATAAGTAATGTATAAAAGCTATGGGTCCCCAAATTTATTCTCTTTCTTTAATTAGCTTTGCAAATGCACATATTTCACAAGCGCCTAATTGAACTAAAGTAGTATTGTTTGATGGAAAGAAAAAAATTCCTTTTAACCTTATATGCAAGGGGAAAGGCTTTGCTCTGTTTAAAAATAAAAAACATCATGGTATTGTTCTATGTTCAACCACAATGACTATGTGTGAGCAGAATGGAACCCCTACAGGAAAACTCTAATTACATATTATAGTCATCAAAAATTTTTGGTTTTTGAGCCTGGGAAGGTAACATTTCTGAAAGTAATTGTCATACTAATGAACACATGTATGTAAATATTACATACTACATCTATATAAACACACCAGACATGTGACGTGTGCTTAGTAGTTTATACTTTTAAAAAATAATATGCTTGTAGTATTTTGACCCTAACAAAAACCTAATGAATTAAGCTTTAAGTTCTTTATCTGTAAAATGAAACTTAAGTAGTATTTACCTCAGGATTGTTAGGGGGATTAAATTGTGTTATCCATGTAAAACATTCAGAAGAGTGCTTGACATATAGTAAGTGATTGATAAATATTAGCTGTTATTAATACCATGCCTTTAATATTAATATACCCCTTTACATGCTAGGAAATAGACTCAGATATACCTAGTCATTTGTTCAAGGACACATAGCTGGTAAATGGCATTGCTTGGATTGAAACCTAGGTTTTTCTCACTCTGGAGTCCATGGTTTCTTAATTACATTGGTGTTTCTCAAAGCTTTTTCCATGTAACACTAGTCCTACAAAATGCTTTAAGAAAAGAGATTATCAAGGTCATATATTTTAGAAAATATACAAGAAAACTTATCAGAATATTGTCTGATCAAAGATACTAAAAATTTCTGCAACAGAGAAAAATTAACTTGGTTTCATCCAGAGGTTTGCAAACTGAGTTGCTCACAGAATCTTTTCCTTTTTGCATACCTGTTAACTTCCTACAAATTAAAGGATACAAAATACAGGCTCTTCGGGAAATGTTACATTCCACCACCCTGCCTCTCACTATCCTAAAATAAATAGAATTATTATCCCTATTTTAGAGATGTTGAAAGTGAGGCTCAGAGAAACTAAATATAAAAGACTTCCTTGGCCAGGTGCAGTGGCTTATGCCTGAATCCCAGCACTTTGGGAGGCCAAGGCTGGTAGATCACCTGAAGTTGGGACAAGACCAGCCCGACCAACATGGAGAGAAACCACGTCTCTACTAAAAATACACAATTAGCTGGGCGTGGTGGCGCATGCCTGTAATCCCAGCTACTCAGGAAGCTGAGGCATGAGAATCACTTGAACCTGGAAGGCAGAAGTTGCAGTGAGCCAAGATAGTGCCATTGCACTCCAGCCTGGGCAACAAGAGCAAAACTCAGTCTCAAAAAAAAAAAAAGACTTCCTTAAAGGATATACTGCTATTGGAGGTCAGAATTTAAACTAGATTTTCTGATTTTAGTTAATCCTAGTATCCTTTCTATTACACTATATCATACGTGTGTTGCATGTTATATGATTCGATATTGTATAAATAATCTGATTTAGAAAATACGTTACACAGTCCTTCAAATTATGCTGCTTTAAAATTTTTAGGATACAGATAATGCTGAGATTTAGTATAATCTCTATGCTAACTACCTACCTAATTATTCCACTTTTATTTTCAGTAAATTTGGCTTTTATGTTAAGACAATGCCTATGTACTTTCAGAATAGTGAAATGTTACAAAATAACAGAATAATTCCATGTTACAAAATAAAAATACATTGTATTTAGAAACAAATGCAATGTTTTTGGGAAAGAAGTCAACTCTGTTTATTACACATGTAGAATGGATCATAGTTTTACCAAATATTAAATAATGTGTGGATTTATTTTCTCCAGATTCTTTTCACTATTTGCCTCAGTTCTCAATTTTCTACAGAAAACATAGTTTCAACTGACTCTTTAGTGAAATCACATTTTCAGCTGAAGAAGTCAAACCTTTTTTGTTGTTGTTTTTAAAATCAACTCAAATCTGTTCAGGTGTCAATTAACAGCATGAGGAGCACAATTTCAAAAACAGCGAAGCAGCACATGTGACACGGTGTCACTACCAAGCCCTGCTTTCACCTGTCTATGCACCAATCTAGTCCTAATTTAAACTCATAAACACATCTACATGTTCATCCCAAGTCCCTGCTGAAAATCTGCTATTGTATTTCTGGTCAAGTGACCATTAAATTACTGCACGGTGGCATACTGTTCAGTGAAAATGTAGTACAACAAAATAATTGTTTTGGAGGTGGGGCAGTTGGTTTAAAAGGGATCTTTCTTGCTTCACAAAACCAACAATCCAGAAATGTTTCTGACAGACAACCCCACACAAATGTTGGGGAACTTACAATACTTCCTTGCTTTCTGTCTTTAGGATTTGAAGGATCTCTTCTTTCTTCGCAGTCCTGAGGTGCTGAACGAAGGCGAGGAAGTTTCTGACAGCCTCAGCCTTGGAGAGGTTGTCAGGCTGCAGGTATTTCCTGGTGGACTGCCAGTGCTCCAAGAGCTGCAAAACATAGCTGCAGGCTCATACCCCACTCATAACTGTGAATGTCCACGTTTACAAAGGGTGTTCTCCAAAGAATAAAATGTCCCTTGTGTCTGAAGCAAAAGCAACTTTTTGTACCTTACTTCAAGATACCTGATAGTTCCCTACCCATATCACACCCCTGGGACTTCCACTTACTTTGCATACCATTCCTCTATAGGAGGACCGTTTTTGTCTCAAGCTAAATATTCATATTTAGCTTGAAGAGGCTGGGGCAAAAATTAACTGGTTTCTGGGTATATAGGTTACTTCATGGCTACACCAAGGGAATTGTATCTGAGGCCAGGCTTTGACTACCATAATGCAATTTAAATTGTGTAGAATTTTAATTAACAGCAAAATATTCCAGAGTTAAAATAATTAGAACTGCTGAAGAATTGCTTCAGATTTCTCATTTACCTACACCTCACTGAAAGTCAGTTTTCCTGTGAGCTCCCTATTCTATCTCTTTATTGTTTTCTTTGTATGAAATTCAATGTTTTGCTATTGCTAAGGTCCAAATTATTCATTGCTTATATCTATGTTTTGCAGAGTAGCATTTAGATAAAGGTAATTCTTACACACTCTAAGTTATTCTATTGCGGTTTTAAAAAATAGTATTAGGTTGTTGCAAAAGTAATTGCAAAAACTGTAATTACTGTTGCAGCAACTTAATAAATAGTTCTAATTAATGGCATTTCTTGGCTTTGAAACAAACTGAATAACTTATTTTTCATACTTTATTACTTTCCCCTCTAGTTTTATGAAATCCTATCAGTGACCTCTAACTCTTTAACTCTGTAGCAATCAACTTGCTGCCAGTTTTTAAATTATTCATTACTTCTAATCAGCAATAGATATTTATTTTTCTCTTTTTCAAGTCCCTTTTAGCTATCTAATCTTAAGAGAATATTCCAAGTGAAATTCCAGCTGTACTTAGCTAAAAATTTACTGGGTGGTTTCTGAAGGCAGAGAGCATATCAATATGAATTCAAGTGTTTTGTTTTTGTTTTGCTTTAAAGAGCTGCAATAGGATTTACAAAAGCAAATTCCTCAATGACATAAATAAGTCATTTTCTACAATAATTAAGAAATAATTATCAAAAATCTTATATGGCTCATGTTTAATATCTATGGGAGAGAAATTAATAGTGCAGAGCTAAGAAAAGATTGGTTTCACTAACCACTTTCCTAATTACCATCTCATACAACATTAGAAAATTATATTAGAACATTAAATGACATATAAAAAAAAACGGGTAAAAGAAGTAACAATGTTTGAAAATGATGATTTTGTGTTTTAAAATGTTTCATTTTTTCCTCTAACTCAATTTCAGAAACTAACAAGGAATTACTGTCTTGTACTTTAAGCGAATTATGGTATTACATCTTGATGATTTCACTTTGCTGAACACCAGTAATATAGAAGGAAAGAGCATCTCCCTATAGCTACATACAGAGCATGAAACCAAGGTTTTGCTCTTCTGACAAGAGATTAAAGATAAGGAAATGCTGAATGGTAAGTCATTTCTCTGTTTATCGTAACTGATTCATGCAATAAAATGAAAATTTTCTTTGTTGGATTAAAAGTGTTACAAGATAATCTACACTTTGCCCTGGGGATGAGATATCGCATTTCTGACAGTAATTATAGGGGAAATTGGGGTAAAGATGTGCTTCCTAATTTAGGCAATGATCCTAGTATTCTTTTTCAGTCCTCGCAGCAATATTCAAAGCACTGAGTCCAGTAAAGTAAGTTATCTGTGGACATATCACTATTATGTGACAGAACTTTCAGGGTTCAGCCTTTGTCCACGTTCTTGATATCATATGCTTCCCCCTAATTCATTAAGCCCTCTATCCTCCCTGAATTCTAGATGTGACTTATTAAAGGCTGTCCTTGAGTTATAAAGCTTTTTGAGAGAAATGAATGGTAACTATTCGTTAATTATTGATATATCATGCACCATCTCAGGTGCATATTGTGAGACGGCTGTCATCACAACTCTGTGGTAGCTGGTAGTTTTTTAGAAACTTTCTTCATTAAATGAACTGATGTTTTCACTGGAGACAAAAGGAAAACAGAGTCTGATGTCATGATTATTCCCATATTTGTTCGCACTTACAGAAGGACATCCTTTACACTGGCTCTGGAAGATCTGCCCCACAATGGGAATGGCTGTGTACTTTGAATTGACTGCTTTGACCATGGCTGTAACTTGCTTTCCAGACATCAGTCTTGGGCCTGCTTCGGTCGTCTTCAGCTCTAATTTCTGCCTGCATAACACCAAAGGGAAATACTACATTATAATCATTCTTTTGAGTGAACAAGATACTAATTGCCATTCTTTTGTCAAACAAGACATTAATTTATTCAAGTTGTATATAGCCATGTCTTTCAAACTGTGGTATCTCCAGAGGTAGCGGAAAGCTCATAAGGAAGTCTTTCTAGAGCTACAATTGTATTAGAAGATTTGAAAGTTTAAGTTTGGATTTTCAAAATATTATGTCAAGAGTATACAGGGAAGAAAATTTGCCTGGATGCTGAATAAGATCTGAGATGACAGCTCTTTTGAATTTAGCCTAGCTTTCTGAAAATGATATCGTCAATACAAACGTGTTACTTATTAACCATGACAGCTAGAAAAGCTTATTTTCCAAAAATAGTCTCACTATATTTTTGTCTGAAATACTCTTCCAGAACCTGTCTGTCATCAAAAGGTAGGGCCTACATCCCTCTCCTTGAACCTGGGTAGGACTCTGACTGCCCCAACTAATAGAGGAGACTGGAAGTAACATGTGATATCTAAGGCTATGTCTTAAAAGAGAACTCAGCTTTTTTCTGGCACACTATCAGAACATGTGCTTCAGAGTCTTAAGCTGCCACAGAGGAAGTCTGGCTATGTGAAGCTGCCATGCTGAGAGGCCACAGAGAAATATAGAGAATTGCACAAGGAGCCTCAGTTGTTTGAATCTTTCCAGCCCAAGCACCAGATACATGGGGAAACAACCTTTGAATAGTTTCAGCTCTAGCCAGTAACTATCTGCAACTACATAATAGATGCCTAGCAAGGCCAAGGCAGGCCTGCAAATTATGTCAGAGAAAAATACAATGATTGTTGCATTTTATACCACTAAACCTGGGTGGTTTGTTACATAGCAATGGAAATCTCATATGCCTGATAAGTAATGTAAAATACTTATTTTATATGAAAAGATAAGAAAACACTATTGATATACCAGTAGTATAAGAAGTAGAATGCAAAATCCTACTCCAGATGAGACTTCTATAAAACTTCAAGCATTTTAATGAGGTACTTTTTACTAAGATTTTGCATCCATTTGGTGCTAATATTAGAACTACTCCAGAGAAATGTTTTGAGAGGCAATAGCATAAGGTATAATACATTCACTGCTAGAAAACAATGTTTTCTGAATTAAAATCTGATAATAACAGAAACTCTTAGATTTAAAATTCTAGTTCTTAACCCTGGAAGAACAATCCTGTCCAGAGAAATAGTCTTCAATTGAAAAATAGGTCTAAATATTTAAGTTGCATATGTCACATCAAAAATTTTGCCGCATCTCTTTACTATGGAAGTTTCTATGCTTTTTAACAACAACGTTGTTTTTAAAAAAACTCTTAAGAGAAAAATTACAAATGCTACCGCTTTTTAACCTTAACATTAAAAACATTTGACAAAGAAATTAGAAAACGATCTAGAATGAATCAAGTATTTCGTCTTTTTAAAACTTAAATTCTATTCAATAAATAATTGATTTTTAATAAAATGTCATTTAAAAAGTAATTATTTACCACATGGCATGAATTACTATAGATGATGTAATAAATAAAGATGAACAAGATATAATCGCTGTTTTCAAGGAGCTTACAGTTGAAATGGGAAAGCATAATAAACACAGTCATGTGCTGCATAAGGATGTTTTGGTCAATAACGGACCCATGTATGAAGGCGGTCCCATGAGACTATGAAGCAGAAACATTCCTCTTGCCTAGTGACATCACAGCTGTCCTATGATCATAGTGCAAAGAATTACTCACGTTTCTGGTGATGCTGGTGGAAACATACCTACTGTGCTACCGTTAAATAAAAGTATAGCACATGCAGTTACTTACACTACACAGTATTTGATAATCATGATAACTGATTATTACTGATTTATGTATTTATTATACCATACATTTTATTATTATTTTAGAGTACATTCCTTCTACTTATTAAAAATATTAACTGTAAAACAGCCTCAGGCAGGTCCTTCCGGAGGTATTTCAGAAGAAACCATTGTTATCATAGGAGGTGACAGAGCCATGTGTGTTACTGCACCTGAAGACCTTCCAGTGAAACAAGATGTGCAGGTTGTAGGTTCCTTTCACTGGAGGAAAACAGTGATACTGATGATACTGACCTTGTGTAGGCCTAGGCTAACATATATGTTTATGTCTTAATTTTTAACAAGAAAATTTTAAAAAGTAAAAAATAAAACATTTTAAAAATAGAAAAAAGCTTATAGAATAAGGACTTAAAGAAAAAATATTTTTGTACATCTGTATGACTTCTACAGAGAAGTCAAAAAGCTAACAAAAATTAAAAAGTTTTTAAAGTAAAAAAGTTACAGTAAGCTAAAGTTAATTTATGATTGAGGAAAAATGATTCTTAGAAATTCAGTGTAGCATAAGTGTACAGTGTTTATAAAGTCTACAGCAATGTACAGTGATGTCCTCGTCTATCACATTCACTCACTGCTCCTTTGGTGATTCACGCAGAGCAACTTTCAGCCCTGCAAATTTCATTTATGTACCTGCTAAGGAATAAAGGTACACCTATACAGTATCTTTTATACTGTACTTTTTTTGCTGACTTTATCTATGTTTAGATACATAAAAACTTACCATTGTGTTTAATTATCTACAGTATGCACTACAGCAATATGCTATACAGGTTTGTAGCTTAGGAGCAATAGGCTATAACATATAATGTAGGCTAGGCCATCTGTGTTTGTGTATGTACACTCTATGATGTTTGCACAATGATGAAATTGCCTAACAATGCATTTCTCAGAACTTATTCCCATTGTTAAGCAATGCATGACTGTGTATACACACACACACACACACACAGATCAATTTACAAATCAAGTTTAACAATATAACAAAGAATAGCAAAGAAAATAAAACTTTTAGCATTATCTTACTTTGATACTATTTTCCCTGTAATGGTTCGTAGGAAATTCAGCCCCAAAGCATGTATTTCTTCTGCAAGCACAGCTATAACAAAGCTGTCTTCTATCTTATAGGTAGTGACAGATGTAGCTTTTGAGCTGACACCCAAGACCTAAATGAATAAATAGCCATCTTTATAACAAGTAATCATCTTTTAAATTATCGAATCAAGTCAAATAGCAAACTATCTTTCAGTCTACAAAAGACCTTCCCCATTACATCCATCCCTTATCACCAATACTTACAACATATTTAAATGAGTCTATTCATTTCATTTAGGTGAATTTACAGCCTAAACTAAAAATTATGTTTCAAAATTATATTTCTACTTTATTCTCCTATCATATTAAATTAATCTCTACAAAATGTAATTATTTGAATGCCTCAAAGAAAGTGACATCTATCATACCTGATTTGGGGTCGTAAATCCAGACCTCTCTATTTTGCATGAATCCAAAGCCTTAATTTTGATCACTTTGTCTTGATGAGCCTGGTAGGTCACTTTGCAATTTCCAGAGATATCTACCTAAAAAGAAAGGCAAGGGCATAATGCTTAGGATTCCTTCTGGGCCATTGGAATTCTAATGAGATGTGGCTTGAAAACTGAGGTCTCTAATATGCCATAAGGGATGCTTTTTTCTTCCCCAGGATGATAAGATACAAAGACAGGAACGAGGTTTCCAGTAGTTCATTGATTCCTTCCTTTTCTCTTTGGTTGAGTCTTACTAGTGCCTTCTCATGTTTTTCAGGAATAATGTGGGATTTCCTACTTCTCTCTAAATCCAATTAGAATTAGACAAATGGCCTGGTAATAATTGAAACCTTTGATAAATGGGTAATTCTGTGGCAAGGAAGTTGATTGTTAATGTTGTATCTAAATTCTCTCTCTGTCTCTCTCTCTCTCTCTCTCTCTCTCTCTCTCTCTCTCTCTCTCTGTGTGTGTGTGTGTGTGTGTGTGTGTGTATAACTTCTACTAGCTGAGTATGATTAGAAATTCTTAAAATCCTATGGGATTAACTCAAATCATTATTAGCTACATCATCAGTTTGAGTTTAGGCAAATGTATCCCAATGCAGGCTCTGTCTAGCCTCTCTAAGCTTTTTCCTGGGGCCTCTGCCAGCATCACAGAGGCAGAAGTCTCTTTTCTAGTAAGCTAACCAATATTCTTTTGGTCTGACCCTACCATCATATTTTTCACACATTTATGGGCTTGTTGAATTCAGACTAAGAAACTTGGACTCCATTCAGCCTTGACTCCAGGTGAGATACTGGAAGATCCACCTAACTTCTCTAGTTTCTTCTTTTGTAAAATGAGCAATGCTTGTAAAGACCAGTTGTTCCCCACATTGAAAATGCATCCAAATAATCCAGGAAAGCTATTAAAATACAGATGTTGGGCCAAGCACAGTGGCTCACACCTGTAATTCCAGCACTTTGGGAGGCCAAGGTGGGTGGGTCATCCAAGGTCAGGAGTTCAAGGCCAGCCTGGCCAACATGCTGAAACCCTGTCTCTACTAAAAATACAAAAATTAGCTGGGTGTGGTGGCGCATGCCTGTCATCCCAGCTACTTGGGAAGCTGAGGCAGGAGAATTGCTTGAACCTGGGAGGTGGAGGTTGCAGTGAGCTGAGATTGCACCACTGCATTCCAGCCTGGGCCACAGAGTGAGACTTCATCTCAAAATATACATATATACAGATGTTTGGGTCATCCCTGTTCTACTGAATCAGAATCTCTGGGATGAATATAGGGAATCTATATTTGTAACAAGCCCCTCTATGGTACAGTGATGTCTGGGAACCACTGGAAGGATCCCCACTAAGTTCCTTTAGTATAAATAATTCTAATTCTCTCTATCTTGTAATTGATTAACAAAACACTGGGGTAAATGGCAATTGTTTCACATGTAAATGAAACTTTACTACACAACTCACCTTTTCTGAGCATTACTTTATTAGTAACTCTACTGAAGTTTTATAAGTAGAAATCTTTACAAATTTTATTGAGATGCTGAATTTTTAATAATATTGGTAAGTACCTCATTGGTGGTTCCAGAGCTTAACTGTGTCTGAAATAGGCTAGCCAGGCCTCTCTTGATATTTTCTATGGCCACTGGCTCATTTTTATATGAGTAGAAATCTTTGACCTGGTAGGGAAAGGGAAACAGAAAAAACATAAATGAAGCAAAAATGCACCATTTATCAGATTAGTTGAATAAGTGTCAGGCAAGGTCAGATCCTTACCTGTATAAATCCTGGAAGAGATCTGACACTCCAATTCTGCAATTTCTGTTTTGTGAAAAGAAGCTACTTAAATCTCTACGACCACGAGAATATGAAGTTTAGGGAGATTGATAATGAAGGCTCTGTGCACAATGGGTACAGCACCAGGAAAGAGCACTGATATAGGCTGGGAGCCTCATGAAAACAAGGATTTCCCAAGGAAGAGAAATGATAAACATTCTGTTTGAAGATGTCACCATGTTCTCTACCTGTAACCAAACTTGAAACAAAAATAATATATATATATATATATATATATATATATATACACATACATACAGAAGGTTGGAAAATTTGAGGCTGAGATTGCGACTGCTGCATATCCTGCCCCAGGCACTGCTTTGAGGTTCCCATCAGAAGGCAGAGAAAGGAGGTTGAAACAAGGAGGGTGACTGTGATTTGGCAGGAATAGTAAACCACTTAGCTTTGTTTTATCACCCTTGATATTTATAGGCAGAGAGATGATAACAGTGTCTTATGCCATTTTGATCATTTAGCTCATGTTTTAAAAATAAGGATAAAATTACAAAGGGAATTTTCTGGAAAGTAGCTTCTTGGTTTTCACCCTGTAGACTTCAAATGCATCACACAATTTAGAAATAGAGAATAGATTCGTGCCCCCTGTAAAAATTCCTAAGGTCTATAATAATTATAGCTGAGCACTTCTACCAAAAATATCCTGAATGCCTTCCTATTACTTTTAAAACCAACCATACTTTCTCAAGTAAAACAAAAAGCTCAATAATTATGCAATGAATCCAAATACCAAGCTCAATAATTTAGCCTACATAAAAACTCTCTTGTGTTTTAGAAGAAGAGAATAATTTGCCTGAATTAACCAAACAAGTGTCTCAAATCTCTATTGTTACTTTCTACATATACTCTGCCTAGTGATGAATTTACTAGGTGCTTTATCTGGCAATCAGTTTTAGTCATTACACTGGACTAACCTATAAATGTTGGAATAGTGTGTGTCTGGCTTAGAAAGGAATTGGATAATGACCTCAGTGTCTGAAAATTCGCAGTATCATATTCTCAAACAAATCACTGGCAATATCTCAGACCCAAGCCTGAGTTTCCGAAGTTCTATTTTGTAAACTATATTTCCTTTCCTTTAATAATCACAACGTAATTTCCTTTTCAAATATTTGGAAGTATATTTCCAGATATCATGACTATTAGAAGTTCATAACTATATTGCCCTAAAATAGTCAGGAGTGTTTACTCAGTGGCAATACACACATGTCTATATGGCCCATGTCTTTTTGGTATGAATCTTGAAGACTTTAGAAAGCAAGATGATCTCCTAAGTGGGAAAAATACCAGTACTGTCACCACTATGTTGCTTTCCTTCCAGGTTACAAAATGTACCTGAACTATTTTTAAAGTTTTACCTAAAATGTAAGGAAAGCCAGTTCTTGGATTTAATCTTTGGACTATGCATAAGGTTAAGTGCTTATCTGTTACTGATACACTGCTACGGAGCAAGTTTTGATCTTGACGTCTGGATCCCTTAGAAAATGGTGTTAGAGCCTTTTTTCCCTCCTAGCAGGCAGAATGATAGATATAAACTGTGAGACGCATACAAAATTTTTTTTCATCCTATTAGTTTTTATTGCTTCCCCAGAACTAGAAAAATGGACACATCTCTTTTACTTTTATGTGACTGGTACTTCTAGGGCCTAAATTCTGTTTCTTTAGTGCAGGCTGATGAGATCCAAAGTGAAGATACTACTGATATCCATACCAGCTAAACGTCAAAACTGATAGAATTGAGCTGCCTTGTAATTCTTTAAAAAATGATAATATGAAGTCAGAATTTTGCAGTTCGAGTCACATGGCTGTCACAGCAATAATCTTAAATTCATTATTTCACAACAGGGACTGAGTTAAGTTTTATTATACTCAGGCCATAAAGCTGATTACTTCATTCAGCATTGAAATTAGTTCTGAACATTCAAGAGCACAGGGTTCTTATCTAAATTCACAGTCCTCAGAGCTTCCAAAGAGCAGCAGCAGGTACTGTACATCCTGGTTACAAACAAAATCTTTAATCCAAGGAAACCACGTCTAGAGGGAGACTGGTAAGATGGCTGGGAAGGAGGTGCAGTGCCTCTTTCAGCCAAATATGAGGGGCCAATTTCCTCTTGAAATCGGTAGGCATCATTCATATTTTCTTTAGAAACAAGATGCCTTTCGCCACACCTTCCTTTATATATATTTTAAGAATAAGAGGAGACAAAATTCCATTAAGTGGCTAAACAATAAAAATAATAAAAAGAATCCCAGCAAACAGAGATTAGTCATTTTATCTTTGATATCTATCTAAGATAGATCATAGCTAGGAAATGACACATTGGAGAATAAACAAGTAAGGAAATATATAACGAGTTTCAGAAGAGCTTTCAAAGTGTCACATTTCTTTTTGCAGTTCAGTGTGTATACAAGAGCCATGCTGATTTAGAGAGCAAATCAATACTGGAAACAAAACAAAATAAAGGTCCGACTCAGCAGTCACGCGGTTAATTTAATCATCACAAAGCCAAAACCAGAAATGGAAATCTGGTAATTATCCAGTTAATTGGATTAGCATTTCAGGCCAATAAAAGAATCAATGGTATAACTTGAGGTATCTTTCACTCATCAGGGTTAATCAACTTAATCAGATAACTGTCATGCTTCCAACTTAATGATCTGTAGACAAAACTAGAGTCATGCCCAGTCACATAGGGAAGATGAGTGGGCATGGAAAAAAGAAGATGTACAATGAATATGTCTCTAAGCATTTTGATGGGCTCTCTTTTAAAATGTAAATATGAAAGCCTCAGACGGGAAAGGGAGAGAGGGGGAGTTCTGGAAGGACAAAAATTACATGCTGATGTACATCCTTGAAAGCACAGAAACTTCAGGGAACAAAACTTAATTTGAGCCTGCAGTAGAAAATGCTCTCTAAGAAAATAACCCATCTGCAGTTTACTCTGTCTGTCCATAATTTCTCTTATAATAAACTGAAATGATATTTTAATAATCTTTCTGACAGTGACGTGGCTGAAACTTCCTGTTGGCTTCTTAGTCTCCATTGTTAAGTATTTTCCAACAAATACTTTCCTATATACTTGAAAGATATGGTGATGTACTTTAACCTGTGGTTACAGTAAATCATCACAAATCACAGCTCCTCTAGAATTGGCCCATTGGCGTTACTAAAATAATGACGTGGTGGTTCTGTCCTAGCCTTTGAACAGTGAGGGTACTGAATCCTTTCATGTGTGTATCAGAAGACTTTGTACTCAGCTGCTACCAAAGGACCTATAAAATGATTGATTGTCATTAAGACTATAAATGCAAATAATATCTATGAACTCAAGTGTCTTGCCACATTGGAAGCTCAGAGAAGAAAATAACAATATTTTATGGGGTTAACAAAATTGAGCCATATGCAAATCAAATAAATCAACTGATCTCATGATATAAATAAAGAACACTATAAGTCAACCAAAGAGCCAGGCATATCTCCAAACACTTTCCAGCTGGAAGACAGTTGACATAGAAGTTTGAGCATAGACTCTGTTTCAAATCCCAACTCCACCACCTGCCAGTTGTATGATTACAGGCAAATTTCCTAACTTCTCTTAACTTTGGTTTCTCATCTATCATAAGAAGGTGATAAGGCAGCCTTTACTGCTCAGGGCCATTTTGAGAATAAAAGAGACAATTTGTGTAATGTTTTTTGTCAGCACCTAGTACACAGTAAGTGCTCAGTACATTTTAGCTATTATTAGGTAAACAATAAGTAAAACCTTTCTCAAAGTTCAATTCAGTTGAGCTCCATATAATCTCATTCATTTATCACTTATTTTAGAAGCATCTATATTGAGTCCCCACTATGAGCAAGCTGCTGAATAGACAAAGCTACAACTCTGCCCATGAGAAACTTACTCGGATGTGGAGAACCATGACATAAAAAGCAAATGACAATACACTGTGATAAATGCTTTGATAGAAATCGGCTCAGGGGTTTGGAAAGATGTTGGGAAAGGCTTCATAAAATACTCAGTGCAAGGCATGATTCTGGGTGCTTTGGGGACGGAGGAAATGGAAGAGCATGGAGGTGAGGGGCGAGAGGCTGAAATACAAAGAGGAATTGGAATTTTTTCTATCTAAAACCCAAAATCTAGCAATGAACACAAATGACCAAAAAGAAAGTGATAAAGGTCCTGAGTGATCTGCAAAGTGCTAAGAGTATTTTGAAGAGTGATGGTTATTTCCAGCTGGCTGGAAGGGTGTAAACTTTATGACAGAAATGGCATGTGAGCAGTCAGAAACATGGCAAGTATTCTGACAAGTGGAGAAGAAAGAGAAAGCATTCTTGAAGGTAGTGATTCATATTTGGTTGTAAGAGAGGTGAATACACAAGATTTCTTGTGAGTTCATTTTTAGTACTTCACATAAAAATGTGCATTACGATTAGCAATATACATATCTGAAAGGTCCAAAGTATTTGTTTTCAAATACTTTATCAGTATCAAATACTTTATACTGCTGTATTACTTTATCAGTATACTGATAAATATCAGTTTATCTTTATTTTGAATTTATAAAGTTAAAGTTTAGAGATGTACAGTTAGAACTATAATGTTCCTTTCTGTTTTCTTGCTTTTGTTTCTAAAATTGAGCTCTCATCTTTACTGACACATTTTTATGTATGTCAACACACTATCTGTAATTTTCATAAACCCACATATGTAATGCCTAATAATTCACTGATCACAATTGTCTCTCAATTCCAAATTTATTAAGACAATTTTAATTTACTAGAATCAAGCCATAAGGAATGCATACTTATAGAATTTTTAAAACAGATTTTCAAATAGATATTATAAAGTGTTCATTATTTTAACATGTAAAATGCTTTTCTATGTCATATTTTTGAAATAATTTCTAAAAGCTTTAAGAAAAAACCTCTACTTTAGACTTGTTGCACCCTTAAACTTTAACCTTGTACTTTAGCCAGATATTGATAATCTCATAACAAATCAATATTACTAATCTCAGTTAGATCATTTCAGTCTCATAATTTGTCTCCTTTCCTGAATTTATCCAATCATGTTGTGTTGACTTGCTTTGTTGCATTATCTTTGTAATCCCTTATAACTTGATAAGAAATTTACCTTTTACTAATGCCTCTCATCAATAAATAAATACTTGATTCTACTAGAAAGACTTCCAGAAAAATAGCAAACAAATTGGCTAGTAAATATAAGGGAACTCAGGGCATTGATTTAGTTTGGAAACATTTAATTTACAACCTCAGTTCTTTAGTTCTTAAAAAAATCCCATTTACCATAAACATAGTTATAATGTGATTACCTCAAAATAATATCTACTAAAGGGAAGAAAAATACAAAGTTAAAGAAAAAGATGTGGAACCTTAACGCCCCTTTACCTTTCCATGGATTAGATGAAGGAGCATAGGTCTTTGCAGAGCTTCCAAGTTTTCCTTTCCTATGATTTTAGGTGGACTTTTTCCTTTGAAGATGTTCTTCTCTCCTCTCTGCTGATTCACATTTTCAACATTTACATCCTTCATCTGGAGTAACAGAAAGAAACCTGTTAAAAAAAACTTCCTATGTCTGTCTTTATCACAGTATCTCAGAACATAAAATGGTAAAGGAACAGACAGAGTTGGCCACAATTTCTTCTGTCATTTTTCAGTTCAGATTTATAGGACTTTGCCACTCACTTTAAAAGAATGGAGAAGGTATTTAAAAACTAGGTTTTTTAATAAGGCAAAAACAGCAATACTTAAAGAACTCTGTGACTTTAGGCTTAAAATAACTGACTTGAATGTGGTTCTTTCCTATCATTGCCATTTTTCCTTTGTTTTATGTGGTTGCAGTCTGCCTGATCACTTCACTTTCTTCACTTTGGAAGGAAACCCTGCCCCATTCTACCTCATCTGTATAAGTAAAAATAAAGTCTAATTACTGAATAAGGAGAATATAATGTTTTCTGGAGAATAGTTTACTGTTGTATTGAGAAATGGCTCAGAGAGGTGAATGTTGATGCTTTGATCCAACTTGGAAAACACAACAGCAATTAGAGACATCCAAAGAAGCAAAGACCACTTGTAAATGTGTTGCTATGACACTTCATTATAAAGGATACTTGTTCTAAGTACTTTGTCCTGTGTGTCTATTTCACACTAAGATGCAGAAGAATAACTGACTTTACTAAAGGAATCTATTACCTTTAGGTTCTTGAGAAGCAAATAAGGGAATCATCATATATTACAATTGGAAAAGGCCCCACAGACCATCTAATTTGGCCTCCTTTCTGAACACATAAATCTCAACCATTTTAACTGACCAAACATTGTTGTCCAGGGGAGTACTTGCTTCCTTCCTCAGGAAGAATACAGAGTAGGTTTACTGTCTCTTCAGAAATTCCACCTGTTTTATCAAGGAATGCAGGAAGCTCCTAACTGATCTCCTCTTGAGTTAGAGCAGTCTCAACTGTCTTTCATACAACATGGATTCTTGACTGTTCTCTCCCAGAACATTTTGAAAAGACTCTAGCATAATATCCCTATTAACAAGATCTATAGAATTGAACACGATATTCTGGTTGGTTACCAATATATAGCTTCTATTGTCTGTGTCAACAATTTGGAAAGATCAGTTCACTTTTCATCATCAAAACCTTCAAATACATAGGTCTGCTTATTTTAGTGATAGAGATAACAAACTAAATGGATGTACAATCAGGAATTCAAAACAAGTGCTGTCAAATGGTAACACTTCTCAAAAATTGCTGACGACTAATCTTTGCATTTATCTGGTAGAAAATGCCCACCGTGATTTGGATCAGTTGGTCATCATCACCATCAGGATTCCTCCACAGTAACGCCACATCCACGTTGGAGGAAATGCGGTAGCCCACGTTGTCTTGCAGTTTTCCTTTGCCCCGATCAAGAAGAACTTCAGTGGAGTATGTGAGCTTGTATAGCCGGTCATTATTTAATGAGAGACCAGTTGTGTGACCTGCAAAAAGACAGTGACACAAATCAAGTTTTCACTGTAAGGGAACATGCTGTCTCACCATCAGTGTGTTCCTCTACCACAGTGGGGCTCAGGAAGCTTGGTAAATTTTTGCTGATTCAAACATCGTTCTAATTCATCTGTTGAAATCATTGGCTTGAAAAACATAGATAAACAAACAAACAAACAAACAAGGTCCCATTTCAGAGAAACTTAGTTTGTATTCCAAATCAATTATCAGATTGTGCCATGGTTAAACTATAGATTTTTTTGTTTGTTTAAATGCCATTGTATTTCTCTTAATTATATAAATATGATCTCAAGTAGAGGACCCATCAGGAATTGCTTTATAAATTTAATATGAGCCATTTGTAATAAACATATTATTTAAATGCAAGCAGATCAATACCAAAGTAATTTTAGAAGAAGTTCTTTCATTTGAGTATTTTTAATATTTAAGAAACATCTATTCAGTTAATTTACTCTATTAATGTAATTAGCAAACTTTTAGTACAAAGGTACATCTCAGGGTTGCACATATGTAACTTTAAATTAGCTATGCCCAAACAAAATAATGTTTCACTACATGAAATTTCAGGGCAGGCTTAAATTTGGCATGGGGTAATTTAAAAAGATCAAATAGTATACAAATCTGTACAGTGAGGCAAGAAAACTGATGTATAAATGAGTTCACACACTATCCAATTCGGTTTATCTAACCCAAAGAAATGCCAAGGAGCAAGTCTTTCCCAGGGATAACTTATGGTTACATAAAGTTTTTTCCTTTTGTATATTTTCTATCTATGGCTCTTAGGAGATAGTTTAAAAAGACTTCAGTTTGCCTTATTTTTGTAATAGGCAAGCATAATCTTTTTTCTCTCAGGCAATATATATATGGGGAAAGATACAGCAAAGGGGTTTGGGGTGACTAGACCAGAAGCAAAGCAGCTGAGAAAGGTGACAGCATAAACTACTTTGCAATGCCAAAAAATTAAGAAAACCTCTGAAACGTCGTTACCCACCTACACAGTAACAATCTGTTCACTGTCTCTTCTACCTACAACAGCATGTACTTGCCCAGAAGAAATGGTGGTTAAAAATACATCATCTGTATGTTACGTGTATTAACTTATTTAATCCTAATAAAAATCTAATGAGGTAGACACCATTATTAGTCTCATTTTTTAGGTGAAGAATCGGAGGGGATACAGCAAATATATAATTTACCTAATGTGACCCAGGTAATTTGTCACGGAGACACTACTTTTTTTCTTTTTTTTTGAGACAGAATCTTACTCTGTCAGCCAGCTGTAGTGCAATGGTGTTATCTTGGCTCACTGCAACCTTTGCATTCTAGATTCAAGCAATTCTCTTGCCTCAGCCTCCTGAGTAGACGGGATTACAGGCATGTGCCACGACACTTGGCTAATTTTTGCATTTTTAGTAGAGACGGGGTTTTACCACGTTGGCCAGGCTGGTCTCGAACTCCTGACCTCAGGTAATCTACCTGCCTTGGCCTCCCAAAGTGCTGGGATTACAGGTGTGAACCACCGTGTCCAGCTGGAGACATGATTTTAATAGAAGTTGTCTTTCTCTAAAGATGATGCTCTTACCTATACTATATGTTTCTAAAACTTTAGGTTGAATTCTTTTCCATTCCTAGGCAGTGAGCTAGGAATTTATTCATTAATTTAACTAGGATATACTGAGTACCTGTTGAACAGTAAGCACTTTTTAAGGCTCTGGGGTTACACCAGTTAACAAGCAGAGAAAGTTTCTTCTTCTTTCTTTCTTTTTCTTTTTCTTTTTTTTTTTTTTTTTTTTGAGACAGGCTCTCACTCTGTCACCCAGGCTAGAGTGCAGCCGTGAGATCTCAGCTCACTGCAACCTTCATCTCCAGCCTCAGTTGATCCTCCCAACTCCGCCTTCCGAGTAGTAGAAACCACAGGCTTATGCCACTATGCCCAGTTAATTTTTATATTTTTGTAGAGACAGGGTTTTGCCTTGTTGGCCAGGTTGGTCTTGAACTCCTGAGCTCAAGCAATCTGCCCACCTCAGCCTCCCAAAGTGCTGCGATTATAGGCATGAGCCACCACATCCAGTCATCAGACAAATATTCTACCCTCGTGGAGTTTACATTTAATTTCAATGAAGAAGGACAATTAAAAAAATGCATACATAAGCAAGTTATGCAGTATGTTAGAAGTGCTCATGAAGAAAATTGAAGCAGGAAAGGGAATGGAGATGCTGAGCGAAAAACCTCTGTGGAAAGGTGACATTTTGGGCAAAGATTTTCATTGAGCCACATGCCTCCAACTCCTACCCTTTCTACCCCTTTCCCTCACAGAGAAAACAGCAAGTGCCAAGGCCCTGAGGAGGGCTCCTGCAGACGTAATGAGGAAGAGCAGGGAGACCAAACAGGCAGGAACTGAGTAAGTAAAAGACACAGTGAAGGACATGAGGTCAAGGAGGTACCTATGGGTGGCAGGAGGATTTGGGGAGTTTGAATGAAATGGGATGCTGCTGGAGAGTTTTGAGTAGTGAAGTCACATAATCTGTCATACCTTCAAATAAAAGAGACAAGGATTTTCATAGGAATCAAAAGAGTCTGGAGAAGGAAGTATGAAAGGATTTAAATGTGTATTCACAAAACCAAGCTGCGTCCAAACTCCAGGTCAGGCAGAAGCTGAGGTGTGAGATACAGAAGGCAAAGAGAGTAAGAAAAATCCTTCAAGGGCATGAGGGCTGGGATTCTCGCCTATCTCTAACTCTTCTGCATTTTAAACGGAGACTCTATAGCAGTGTCAAACACTGGCTTTCTGGTCAGAAAAAATATTTTGGTCAGGAGGCCTTCTTTCTATGACACCTATCGAATTCCACATAGGGCATAAAGGAAACACATGTTGTCTTATCTAATCCTCAGAGAAATTCTGAAAAGTAAGCATTTTGTGATTGCAGATAGAAGTTCCCTCCAAGTTCAACCCAATATAGTAAATATAATGCAGATTTGATGTTTAAAGGTACCAAAATCCAAGTTTTGTGGACTATATTAAGGTGTCTTCTGATCAAAAGAACTATGAAAAATTGTAGGAAGGTAACTTTTCTTAAATTCCATAGCTTTCTAGACTATTATATTATTCACTTTTTTTCTTACCTCTACTTTACTGGCCATATAATAAATCAATTTTTGACTATGATTTGGAAATTGTAAAGCACAGGAAAGAATGGGTCTTTTTCCCTCCAAACTGTTTTCTACCTCTTTCAACTGGAGATAAAGCCTAAAATGGTTCAAAGACATGGACTGTACTACAGTGTCATTCCTCTTATACTTTCCTTTTTGATAAGTATTTCTCTGTTTGTGTTTTGCAGAGATCTGGCAGCACTGGGCATTGGGGCATGTCCCATTTACATTGTCGACTTAATTCCTTTTGTAGGATATTGCTCTTCAGAGTATCTATAATAATATTTTTGATAACTAATATTATATAAAACCAAAACAGAAATAAATATTAGCCGAAAAAAATCAGAATCTCTGTAATTAGCCCTTTAAGTGCATTTAGAATTTTTAAGTGACTTGAAAGCAACAAAACTTCTTGAATTTTCAAGAAATATTTTAAATACTCGTGTCAGATTTATATGAGTACAGAAACTGATAACTGGCTTAGTCAAGAAGACAAAGCAGAGATAAATTAATGGTGAGGTTTGAAGAGATGTGCAATGATGATAAGGGTGATAGGTAACAGCATTTATGAACCCAACAGAAAACTTAAAGGTCAGAAGTGAAAAAAATATGATGAAGGGTAAGAACAATAAGGAACTGGAAGATAATCAATAAAATTGGACTAAAAACTAAGGATGGAGTGAGGGATTGAGAGAAAGACTGGAAATGAAGGAAGTGCGCATGTTTAAAGGTGACAAAATTAAATGGAAGGTTAAAGTACTATACAAGGAAAACCCTGAGAAGGCACTGAAAAGAGGCTGACCATTACAAAGTATAATTAAGAAAAAGTGGGGAAAACTTGAGTCTTTTGAAGTTCACACAGCAAATCATATAGATCTTCTATCATAATCTTAACACCCTCTTCAAATTCCAATCTACCATTCAATTTTTGTTAGTATCTAACTTGCCCTCAACATCCACTCAGATCTGAGGATTTACCAAACAATTGCATTGGTAATTTAGAGATGAGTTTTGAGGCAATGAGGTATGGGATCTCAAAATTTTAAATGGACTGATTTTAAGGTAGACTCTTCACAAATAGTTTGCTAATTAACGTCAGTTGTTACAAGAGGAAAGAATCTATCATTAAATCATGGTACCATAATACAAAAAGTTATTCCATCTAGGTAAAGAAGCTCTCAAGTCGTGTGCTTTTAATTTATTATATCGGTATATGCAACTTGTACCATGATGCTAATGAAGCTTAAGCTCTCTTGCCCAGGATCCTTCCAAAGACTCCAGAAGAGGACCCTAGCAATGTATCCACTTGCCATATCTTTTTTCAGTAACCGTTGCAATAGTAAGGTATTTTTAGTCTTTTCTCAAAGGTGGCCCCTAGATTATATATGCTTCAAGCTTTAAAAATCTAGATGTACCACTAAGTTTGTACACAACAAACTGTAGCCATCTATCACATTCTAAATCACATTTTCTCATATGTGCCATTTCCAAATTATGCCACTGTCTAGGTGTATGTGTGTATTGAAATCTTTTATAATTACATTTGAAAATGACATCACCCAAATTTCTAGTTTATAGAATGGGAAAACAGGAGAAGCTCATGGTAAGTACCATGCCTCAATTATTTTTCTCAAAAATGATATTAGGTTTGATACTATGGTATTAAAATCACACATATTTTGACTATCAACAGTTTATGTGGCAGATGAAATAGTAAGCTCTCTATATAACAACTCTCAGTCAGATATAATTTATAAATCTTTTTCTCATTGAAAAATTTCTTTTGTCCAAGTAAGAATGTATGTTTAAATAGTAAACATTTTAGAAATTGGTGAAAATATTATCTTTATCTAGTTCAAGAACCTAAAGTGTGATTTGCTTAGGTGAATTGGTTTAAATTTAGCCCTCTATTGCTCCAATAATGTAGATTAGGTTTTTTTCCCTCATGTGGAGATTTTCTATACAAAAAATCCTGAGACAAACTTTACTTTAAGATCAAAAGCCACATTTATCCCTAACAAGTTTTAGAAGTTTATAAATGAATCGTTTTCTATCAATTACTTAGAGTATGTGGTTTTAAAACTGGTCCCTATAATGCTAAGTTGTTGTTGGGTCAATTGTTTTTAATAGTGTGTCTTCTTTAAAACTCTAAAAAGTGATCATTTTACTAGTACAGCATTTGGAAATTTGATGTTTAGAATCAAGCTGATTTAAAACAAGATTCTATATTAATACACTATGGTTTTTGGAAATCATTCCTCACAAAATGTTTGTTTTGTCTCTTGCCCTTTCAATGGAATTAATTCGTATGAATTTTTAAAATCAATTTCATCTTAAAAAATTTTAAATCCATTTCATCTTAAAATAGAAACTGTAAGCAGCAACATTATTTTTCCAAAGATTATTTCTTAAATCTATATCATAACTTTTAATTTCCTTTAATTCACTATGAATGCTATCATTTATGAATTGTAACAGAATTAAATACATGTTGTGCCATTTCATTCATAATTCTTTGGCAAATCAAACGCCTTTTTCATTGGGTCTAATTCTTCTTGATGTCACATTGCCAAGCAACTAGAAGAAAATTTAAGAAGAGCGTTTTTCTAAAAAAATCCTCATTTACAATTCAAATGAAGGAGCTGCATTCAGTGTGACCAACAGCAGCAGGTAACAATAGATGGCATCTTTTCTACTCCTTTTAAAAACAGACCATGAATGAGAAATTGAAGCAAGAACACACTGGTCAGAGGAACTGAAACTAAAAGAAACCTCTGTTTTCTTAACGTTTGTAGGGATTTGAATTTGGTTTTCATTTCAACTCAGTCATGCTTTCATAAACATTCCAATATTACATGGTTTTGAAGATAGTTTAGTTAGAAACTCGTTGACTATTCACACACACAAATACACACACACACACACACACACACACACGTATTCACCTCCCACCCCAAAGACTGAAATTAAAGTTTAGCAAAAGGCAACACAAACTTACCTTTGACAGATGCTGAATATGAGGAAATGAAGCAGAGAAAAAGCACAGCAAGAAGAATCATATTGACCAGCGACCCTCAACTGCATCCAGTGCCCAGCTAGGAGTCACTGAGAAGTGGACTCTTTGAATGGCAGCCAGTGAGGGAGTGACACTCTTCAGAACCTGCAACAATCATGTTTATCTTTGGGGAAAGGTCAGACTCCAAACTCCAAATTCAGGACTTAAGTTCACCAAAGGGCTCACTATTAATGATTAAACGTAGGTGGGCTGCAGTTTTCAGTCTCTCACTCTTTTTCCTTTTTTTTAACCCATTGAGGAAAATTGAAATGTTTTTATGTTTGAGAGCTAAACCAAACCATTCTACCATTCTGTAAATGCAGAAGTACTGAGGGACATTTGAAGAAAAAAACTTTCTGCTTAATATATAATTATCGTTATGCCAGTAATAGTTAACTGCCTATATTCACATTACAATACCACGTGGGCGGGTAGTAAGGATTCTCAAAAACTCAGCTAAACCTAACTAAATTTTAATATTTCTTATATGGACATCTTTGAAGTTTTTATGCTATTTGTATGTTTATATAAAAAATTCACTCTGAATTTCAGGATTTAAATTTAAACTATTAAGTCATACCACCACCAATCACTTCAAAATAATGTTAAAGTAGATAGAACTTTCATGAAACATAGATGATTCTTCTTATGTGTGAAACTGTATGAGGTTGGAGCAAATCAGCATTGTCTGTCATTAGCATACTAAGAAGCCAATTGAGTATTTCATAGTAGACTGCTATTTGTGGTCTGTGACAAGACACATTTGTCGGAGTCCACAAACTGGCTGGATGCAGTCCTGTCCTTTCTGAACCCCATTTCTAGGAAGAGATTAAGAGAAGGAATTCCAGCTTTTAGTTCTTTTGCTACAGAATACTAACTAGAAAACTTCTGTAGAATTAAAGCAAATGCCCTAGTATGGCTAAGGTCATACTAACTAAACTAATTCTTGTCCCTAGAAACTCTCATGAGAAAGACCTGATATGAACAAAACCTACTAAAAGGAGGTGGCTTAGGCAATATGTGGGAATGTTTTGGCTTAGAAGGGAAAAATGTGCTACCAAAGGGCTATGTGAATGTACTTTAAAATATTTATGACTATATTTTAGTATAAAATGAATTCTTAAGTCTATCCTGGTCACTCTCAAAACCCTTTTCTCAAACCCTAACCTTCAGCTTAAATCTTCAAGGTAATTTAGGTAAAAGATAGTAGACTTGATAGGGAACACAATGAAATTTAAAATTTAAAAATCTACAAAGTTAAGGTTAGCTCCTCTTAAATCATATCTTTATATAAAGAGCAAAAGATGAAAATTGTTTCTCATCCTCTATTGGGATTAGAATTTCATTTGTTATCACAAATTTTGTATAAAATACACAGCTATAGTACCTAGCAAAAATAAATCGTTCGGTTGGAAATACCACCTTAGAGGGATAAATACAAAGTTTTCCTGGAGTTAAACAGAAAAGTAGCTTTGTTAAAGAAATGTAAGTTTTTGTGAATTGTAAGGATTATGAATACAAGGTAATGTGAAAGTTGCTTTGTTGCTTTCCATTTGAATAGAGTGCTACAGGTTTCCATAATTTCCATAATACATACATAGGGATATAAAACCATTATAGTCACTTGAACTTTACTTACATATTTACTTAAAATAAAGGCTAGTTTCTATCATATTTGATTGTATGAGAACTGTCCTCATGCATTTTCATTTGAAGCTCACAGTTACAAGACCTTTAACGTTTGTGGCTAGACTATGTGGTGCATGATACGTGTCCTTCGGGTAAAGTACTATTTGTTGTCAGGTGTTTACCAGAGTCCAACCAATAAAAGACGTATCATTATTGCCTAACAAACTAAATTCTGTTTCATTTGAGCATTTGATTTCCACCAGAAAGCTCCTATGAGTCACTGTATTAAGTAGTCCTTTCAACATAAGATGTGCAAATAAGGCTGTTTCTGCTGGTTTTAGATAAAATCATCGTTTTACAGAATATAAACTTATAACTTTTTTCTTTTTACAAGGACATTTTAGAAAAGACTTCTTGAGATTGTTTCATTACAGATGAAATAAGAATGCCAAACCCTTTCCAAATTCAGTGAACCATGTGTATCAAAGAAGTATTCTCTTCTGTTACTCTGTTGAGTAAGCACAGCAAACACTGTGCAAGTATGGGCACTACCTCCTAAAACTCACCAGCTATGTCACATGACATGTGAAGCAGGACAGAAGCAAAGCATAGTAAAAAAAACAAGAGCTGCCATCTTTGGAACAATTATTATATACTTACTTTTTGTTAGTCACTTTAAATGTTTATAGTAATTCTTACAGCAGTCATTTGACATATTAGAAAAATGAGTCTCAGATTAATTTACTGAAATGATTTTAGGACTATAGAAAAATAAACCTTGAAACCTAGACCCAAGTGTTCTTCTTTGCTTAAAAAATGTTACAGGCGGGGAGAAGTGAGAAAAAAATTGATTTCTTGCAGATGACATGAAATTGTTAATTGGAACTGTCTTCATTGTAAGTCATGACAATTTTGTATGAAAACTAACAGAGCCCTTGATATTTGTGAATTTGTAGTTAGACATTCAGGTGGAACATCTAGGGATAAAAGTTGATCTGTGCTAGTTAAATCAAAATAAAATGATATATTTTAAAACAATCCTATTGCAATGAAACTCCTTGGTAGTACATGACACTGTGAAATATTTGCTAACTTCCATTTGCATTGATAAATAAGGAGACTATGAAATAAAGACAGATGATTAATGCCAAAGTACAGTTGTGTTTCTGTTGAGTGTCAGAGGTTGTCAGTAGTTAACATATTTTCTTAGATTAGAAGACAAACGAACTTCACCCCAGTAAAGGTTGGAAGGAAATACATTACCCTACTAGATATAGATATAGAAAGTCAGGATGTACAAAAGCTATGTGAAAAAAAAAAAGTCCCTTTATTTATTTTTTTTTTTTGAGACGGAGTTTCGCTCTTGTTACCCAGGCTGGAGTGCAATGGCGCGATCTCGGCTCACCGCAACCTCCGCCTGCTGGGTTCAGGCAATTCTCCTGCCTCAGCCTCCTGAGTAGCTGGGATTACAGGCACGCGCCACCGTGCCCAGCTAATTTTTTGTATTTTTAGTAGAGACGGGGTTTCACCATGTTGACCAGGATGGTCTCGATCTGTTGACCTCGTGATCCACCCGCCTCGGCCTCCCAAAGTGCTGGGATTACAGGCTTGAGCCACCGCGCCCGGCCAAAAAGTCCCTTTATAACACTGAAACACATTGTTCTTAGAAAGAAGCATGACATTAATTAAAAAAAAATTAGAAGGACACTTCAAGTTATCCCTACATGGTCATAACAGTTTAAAATTAAATAGTATTTTCAATTCAATGAGGGAGTTAGCATTTTGAAGGAATCTTGAAAAAATTTCTTAAGTTAAAAATATTATTAATTTGATGACTTTTTTATACCAAGGCAAAATTATACATACTTTATTTTAAAGGGTATTGTTTGTTCTCTATAAGAAAATAAAATTGAATCCTTTGTCTTATCAAAAGCAAACCTGACACTTACAGGTTTGAAACACTGGGACTTTAAGACTCCAAAAATAACATACATTTTTCCAAAATAGAGTCATTAACCAAATTTTATATCCCTCATACATATATACACACACACAAATTTGACAACAATCAAAAAATCCTTTGTATGATATCAGTTACCAAAAGAGAATTCTAAATTATCTTTGACCACACAAAACTGAATCGCAAGCATTTAAAGGAGAGAACTGATGGAAACTCTTTTAGTAGATTACTGTAAATACAACAAGATTTTAATTTGTATCAGAATAAATTTATTGAATATTTTAAAAAAGAAATTTCACAACCTAAAATAAAATGACATACAAGTATCAATGCAATTTCCCCTTTAAAGAATATTCAATATAACAATTACATTTATGGACTAATTCTTAATATATAGGTATAAAAATACGAATTTATTTGAAGTGGAATCAGAAACCAATTGTTTTAAGTAATTACCAAAATAAGAAAATAAAAAATGTTAATGAGAGGTCAAGAGATATAGAGGATAGAGTAAGTGGGGCGAAGGCAATATTTGGGGAATATATTTGAGAATTTCCAAGAACTACTGAAAGGCACTATATTAGTTCTCCATAGCTGCCATAACAAATTACCACAAAAATTTAGTGGCTTAAAATAAACTTATTGTCTTCTGGTCCTGGAGGTCAGAAATCTAACACTGGTGTTGGCAGGTATATCCCTTTCTGGAGGCTTTAGGAGAGAATCTGTTTCCTTACCTTTTCTAGCATTCTTTGACTCACGGCACCTTCCTCCATCTACAAAACCAACAAGAGTGAGCTGAATCCTTCTTACTTCATATCACTCTGACCATCTCTTCTGTCTCCCTCTTCCAGTTTATGAATCCTTGTGATTATACTGGGCCTCCCTAAATAATCCAGAATAATCTTTTTATCTTGAGGTCTGCAGATTGGTAACTCTAATTTCATCTACAACCCTAACATAGATATTCATAGGTTCTGGATATTAAGGTATGAACATTTTTGGGGAGCCATTGTCTGCCTATCACAGATACCAATCCACAGATTCACGAGACTCAATAAACCTTAAGCAAGATAATTTTTAAAACACACATACAGACAAGTAGACACATCATAACTAAACTGCAGAATATCAAACAGAAAGAGAAGATATTTAAAGGAACCATATAGAGAGAACAGACTATTTTCAAGAAGAAAGAAAAGCAGAAAACTACTAAATTATTAACAGTATCAATGAAAACTAGGAGACATTAGAATGTCTTCAGTGTGCTGAGAGAAAATAACTGTGAATTAAGTATTCTATATATGTTTATAAATATGTCTTTTAAGTATAAGCTTGAAATAAAGATTTTCCAGAAAAGTTAAAACTGAAAGTTTACAAGTAAAAGACCTCTCCAAACGACATCTTTAAAAAATCTACTTCAATTAGAAAAAAAGTGACCCCAGATAAAATCTGAGATGCAGGAAGGAATGTAGAGCAAAGAAAGTACGGTGGAGAAACACACTGGCTCTTAATAATAGTGTCTTGTGGGATTGAGCATAAAGCACATAAAAATAACATTTAAAACGGTGTCACAAGGACCTTTGTGGTATAGTGAAAATTTGGATAGCATAATGTTTGTTTAATGACAAAAATTCGTTCAATAAATTATGGTGTATCAATTCAACAGAATTCCATGAAGCCATTTGAAAATAATATTATATAAGCATGTATTTTGTATAGTATGATATAGGCAAATATGTAAACATATAAATATAGTATATTTACCATATCTTAGTAAGTAAAAGAAAGCAGTCTGCTAAACAGCAAATATAGATATGGTTTGAGATTTCTTGTGTAAACAATACACAAACATATGAGCACAGGAACAGTATTAGAACAATATTCACTGAACATCTTAAAAATTATTCTCTCTGAGAGGGAAAATAGAGTTGTGTTTGCATTTTCTTTTTTGCCATTATATTTTCTCACATTCTATAATGTATATGTTACTTCAAAATAGGTTTTGTTTATAACAGTTTTAGATTTACAGAAAAATTGCTAAAATAATATGAAGATTTCCCATATAGTCTACACAGTTACTTCTACTGTTAGCATCTTACATTAGTATGGTTGATTTATGATTAATAAACCAATACTGATACATTATTAAATGAAATTCATACATTATTTATGTTGCCTTTGTTTTTACCTAATTCTTTTCTGTTCCAATATCCCTTCCAGGGTACATTACATTTAGTTGTCATGTATCCTTAGGCTCCTCTTGGCTGTAACAACTCCAAGGAGAACTGGTCAGATATTTTGTAAGATACTCCTCTAGTGGAATTTTTGTAATATTTTTCTTATGATTTGACTGAGGTTGTAAGTTTGGAGGAGGAAGACCATAGAGGTAAAGTGCCATTTTCTTGATACCATATTACATCAAAGGTACATGATATCCACGTGATTTATCTCTATTTACATTGACTTTGATCAGTGTTCTCAGTTTTCTCCATTGTAAAGTTAATTCTTTTTTTTCACCCTCTTTTTCCATACTGCACTCTTTGGAGGAAGTGCTATGTACTTCTCACACTTAAGGAAGTGGGGAGTTATGTTTCTTCTCCTTGAGAGTGGAGTAGCTACATAAATTAATTGAATTCCTCTGCATGGGAAATTTGTCTTTAATTTCCCATTGATTTATTTAATCACTATATTAGTAAGGACTCATGGATATTTACTTTATCCTTTGTTATAATCTAATACTTCTTTGTTGCTACAATTGGTCTATCTTTAGCCACTGGGAGTTCCTTCAGTTGGCCCCATGTTCCTTTGACATACCCCACTGTATGTGTGTTGTTTCGGTTTTTAGCATCTCCTTATTCTCTGGCACCACAAGATGCTTCCAGCTCATCTGATACATTTTTACTCCAATCTTAGAATCAGTCATTTCTCCAAGAATCCCTGGTTTATTTTAAAGAAGAATGGTACTAGAAACCAAGATCTGGACACTAGGTGTGTTCATTTTTACAGCATCAAGTCTTCAAATCATATCTCTCCATTTATTTAGGTCTTCTTTGACTTTTTTCATCAGAGTTTTGCAGCTTCATGTAGATTAAATATCCATGTAGATTTTGCAGTTTCATGTAGATTCTGTTCAAATTTTGTTAGATTTATACCTATTTGATTTCGAAGGGGTTGTTCTTTTTAATTTCAAGTTCCATTTGTGCACTGCTGCTGTACAGGAAAGCAATTGACTTTTGCATGTTAACCTTTTATCATGTGACCTTACTATAATTGCTTATTAGTTTAGTGAGGGTCTTTTTGGTATATTTTTGGGATTTTCTAGATAGACATTCATGTCATCTACAAACAGTTTTATTTCTTCCTTTTCTTTTCAAATCTTATTGTGCTGGTTAGAACTTTGAGTACAATGGTGAATGTACATGTGTGCTTTTTACATTTCTTATTTTCTTAAATCTGTTATTCATCTTCAAATATTCATTTCTGAATCATTGGTTTTTATGTCATTCTTTAATATTTTCTATTATTTAAAAATTGCTCTCCTTTTAAAACATTCCATTACAGTTTTCATCCACCCTTTTTTTTGGCTTCATATTCTCTGTTCTATTATAGTAACTTTAAATGAAATTCAACCACGATCCTTTTCTGTGGTATACCTTTTAGACTAAGTTATTCTGTACTTTTGAGAGGGAGGATTGGGTAGAACAGCTTTCCCACTTTCATGGCTCTAGAGGTTCCTTTTTAATATTTCATAAAATAACACACTTGTATCCTTGTATTTTCTGAGATCTGTCTCCTTTCTATTTTCCCACTTTCATCTGCATCGCTTTTTCCTTGGCCCCTGTTGTCTCTGTTCTGTTCAATTCGATTTCTACTTTCAGCAGTTTCTCTTTAGTGTTGGGCTATGTTCAAGAATGGAGCTCCACTGTTCACAGGCCTCACATTCCTCCAGCAACTTCAGACCCTCCTGCTCATTCTTTTACACTTAGCTGAGCTTAGAGTCTGCTGAACTCCCTGCCAGTTTTGCCACCGACTTCACACTGGTTTCCCGTTTTCTAGCAATCATTTGTTGGCATTTTTGGGGCCTTCCTATTCTGAGGGTCTTCAGACGATCTGTTGTTTTCCTACCATTTCCTCCTACACAGTTGCTGATGTTGAGTTTTCTCCTTTCTCTTCATATTTTGAGATTTGTAGGGATTCCTTTCCACCTAGTTATGTTATAGCTATAATCTGGGATTGTTGTAATGTCTATCCTACATGCTTTATCTGTTTTTATGAGGAGATTCAGGAGGTTCACAGACTACCGTGCCTCTCTAATCATCTTCCCAGACTCTTTAATATTCATGTATTACTTGGAAGGATAAGGTATTTTAAAGTACATTTTAAGTTTTTTCCTGTATTTTTGGAATCAGTCAAAATGCAGGTTGAAATGATTATAGATGACTGGTAGATTCTTCCTTTTAGCTACCTTTCAAATCATGTTTGAAAACAGGTTTCTTTTTGGCTTTCCTAGCCTGAAATTAAAGTACTCACAAGCATTATTCTATTTCCACGTCTCCTCACTTCCAACTTGCTGAAGAGTAGTCTACGACTTAAAATCAGAATTAAGCTGAAAAGAATGGAATTTGTAATGATTGCCCAATGTTTGAAATGTTTGGAGGGTTTCATAATCATATTTATTACTGTATTTTTATGTCCTAAAGTATTAGTTCTATCTGTAGCCCCTTTCTTATTCTACAAACAAGGGTCCAATTTAACAAACTGGCTACCAATTGTCTGAATATGACCCACAGATATATTTTATTTAGCCTGCTCAGTATTTTAAAACAAACAAAACAGCTGTCAACGCTTCAAAACCAGATTTCATATTAATGGCTATTGTTACAAAATTGACATCTGGTGTGATCAGGCCCATATTCTCTCTTGGAACTTGCACTCTGATTAAAAAGGAAATGCACTCTCAGCTTTGTGATGCTTTCCTTCCAGATGCTTCTCTCATTTGCTACCTTCCAGTACCCATAGGTATTATGCATTTGTAACCCATGTAGTATCTGTTTGAGTCCAACCTCTTAAATTGTCTTAAACTACAAGTATGCACTCATTCTTTTTAAGAATGAGCATCTGTTTCTACTCAGATGTCCTGCAGACTCCCCAGAATCCACATTTTAAAAATCAAACTATTTTTTCAAAACCTATTTTTCCTCCAGTATTCCCTAAATAACCCAGTTAATATTATAGTATTCCTACAGTTTTCCAAGTTAGAGAAACCCTCCAGGGTCACTGTCTCCTCCTTCTGCCTCATCCTATCCACAGCTTTTCAGTCATCTGCAAATCTATGACATGCTCAGGTCTCTGCTTTCACTGTTCCCAATATCCTAAACTTTCTTACTTTGAGACACCTGTAAAACTCCTACTTACTTTCCAAGATGAAACAAAATTATTCAATCTCCAAAACTATGTCCTGTGCCTCAAGGAGCAATTAGTTGTTTCTTTCAAAGTACAAGCATCTCAAGTACATGTTATATGCTTTTTATTTACTGCTGGCTCCCCTACTAGATTAGGGATTTCTTGAGGACACAGAGCATGATTTAGTCATTTCTGTATCACCATTATGACGACGAAAAGCATAGAACTTGATAAATGTGTCAAATAAACACATGAATTTTACAAATCAATGAAAATTCTGTTTCATATGATTTCACCTTCTTAAACTTTCCATGTTTCATTTTTTTGTCAAATTGACTTCTTTGGACTGACACTAGAGTCATTTTAGATTTTGCACCAAATGACTACAAAGTTAAATGTTTAGGACAAAAGAAAATGAATGTATTGGCTTCTTTACTAAAATATAAAGGTTTTTTTTGTTTTTGTTTTTTGCTTTAAAACTTGGCTTAAACTATCTAAGGATGCCATGTATTAACTCTGAAAAAAATGTATTATTATTTATAAAACAGATCCCATAGGAGCAACTGAACAGCTGTGGAAAGATTTGGTACATCACTTTGCCAGCCTGAATTTAATGACCTACATGTGAAGGGCTACATATCCAATTACTAATCCTCCCTCAGCTACTCTTTGCCCTGATATGGAGGCAGCTGAAAAAAGATGCCCTACTAACAGATCAGAAGTAGATCCAGACTTTTTTGCTAGGGCTCAGTTAAGAAAGATCTTTTAGGTTTGAGATGAGGAAGAAACAAAGAGGGACTCAGAACAGTGTTATATCTGACACAGTGTTTCAAGTAAAATTTAAAGGCTTATGGTGAGAATGACTCTAGCTTTGTAACTAAAGACAAAGACATTTCAGCTCTTTTAGAGAACCTCAAACTCTGAATTTAATTTTCTATTCATTGAAGCATTTAAACATGTTCAAATATCTTCAAGCATCAAGGATAATTTACTTTAAAATTCTTTCTATACTGAGAAGCCAGTCTTCTATTCAAAGATGCAAACCTCATTCTCATCTTCAAATTCTGCAATAATTACCTATTAGAAGAAGAGGGAAAAAAGCTAAATAGAAAATGACAATCTATGGGATTGTGTTTCACTTCTCTCTGTTGACAGAGTCTATATATAGAAAAAAGATTATATAAGGTCAAATATTATAAACAATGAAATGTCATCTGATGTTTTGCAAAACAGCATAAGAAAAATAGTTAAAGGAATGAATAAAGAGTAAAGCTATGGCTGTTTTACTTGAGCCATAAAAAAGGCTTACAGATTCTAAATTTAAATGCATTTTATTGTGAATCTGACTCACTTTTTGAATTTAATTTTCCACTTATGTAAAATCATGTGATATGGTAATTTTCTGTATAAATTAAAAATAATTTAGGCAAGAGATGTTTTTCTCTCATTTTCAACACAGAAAAATTATGAGCCTTTCTTTGATGTTTTGCATTTTTAACAGTGGGACTATCTTAATTCCTCCACCCAATCACCACAAGAATATATGAATGAATGCACGTGTGCAGGTACACACTTAACTTCTTGAACTGGAAAAAACAGACGTCACTGTAACTAACTACATCACACTCCCAAAACCCTAACTCCGGACCCCGCCCCGCTTAAACCCCTCCCCTTTCTCCCATTGCGGGTTCTAAATTGGCGCAGTTAGATAACGTAAGACGCACCCGCCGTAGCCTCCACTGTGTAACTACCGCCCCTGCCTCTGGGAATTGAAGTTTCTGTGGAAGGAAGCAGGAGCGGTAACCAGGCCAATCCAGGAAGGCTTTTTTTCTTAGCTTTCACTTCCCTGTAAACTCTTCATATCGGTAAGTGTCCTGGCACTGGATGGCGCTCGCCCTCACTTTGGTATTGTTCGGGCGCTAACGTGGGCGTGCTATGCAGCCTTCGACTAGCAACAAGGGCTTCCGGGGGAGAGTGGAGCGGTGGTATGGAAGTGGTTGCCTGCGGTGCTGGTGCTGAAGGAAATGACGTTGATGATAGGCGCCCCCCGCGGCCTACTCAGCTGCTCTCTGGTTCGCCAGCGGCAGCTTAATCCCGCCTCTGGAGTGCGTTCGCTGGCGGGAAGCCTAGAAGACTGTGGGCGACGCTCCGCCCACACGGTGGGGCCCTTTCAGTCGGCGTGTGTTTTGGGGTTGCCGTTGGCCCGTAGTATGTGAAAAGTGAGTTTGCAAAGAATGAGAGGGAAATCTATACTCTAAAGGGCCGGAAAGCGTGTTTTGGCCCTGCCACTTCGTGGCTAGACACCGTAGGCTTTACAAAGCTGTCTTACCTCGTTTTTCCTGGGAGGGGTGACGTGGCTGAACCCTCTGAAATGTAGAGAGCCTGAGGGGAAGTTGCTGCAGGTGCCGTGAAAAGATCGAAGTGTTACTTGATTTCACTGACATATATTCAATTTGGGGATTTTTCTAGAGATATAAAGACAAGTTACTTGTCATTTTCTGAAAGAATCTCCTCTGCCCAAAAGGCTTGACAACTGAAGTTAACAAAGGGCTTTTCGCTGCTCCACGTTTAGCCAGCAGGTCTTTAAAAAGGGCATTACTGGCCAGGCGCGGTGGCTCAGGCCGGTAATTCCGACACTTTGGGAGGCCAAGGCGGATGGATCACCTGAGGTCAGGAGTTCGAGACCAGCTTGACCAACAGGGTGAAACTCTGTCTTTAGTAAAAATGCAAAATTAGACGGGCGTGGTGGCGAATGCCTGTAATCCCAGCTACTTGAGAGGCTGAAGCAGAATTGCTTGAACCAGGGAGGCGGAGGTTGCAATGAGCCGAGATTGCGCCATTGCACTCCAAGCTGGTCAACAAAGCGAAACTCCATCTCAAAAAAAAAAAAAAGTGTCACTATCAAGTCATTAATTTCATTCTGCATTATTCCCACGTTCGTTCAGATTTTTCCGGAAGGGAGACTGTCATAAATTACCACGATTGTTTATCCCAATTCAAAACTTATGCAGTTTTTAAAAACTTTTTTTTCTTTTAGTCTTCATTGATTTAGGATGTATCCTCCTTGCCTTAAGCTGTGGTAAGATACGGAAATACAAGGAAGATTGAGATAGTTTGTAAGCCCACCTGATAACCCGTATCTGCAAATGAACCCCAGTAATTTTAAAAATTTTATGCTAAGTGAAATTTCACACATATATACATATATTTGTGTGAAATTGTATATATATATATATATATATATATATATATTTTTTTTTTTTTGGGAGATGGAGTCTTGATCTGTCACCCAAGCTGGAGTGCAGTGGGTGCGATCTTGTCACACTGCAACCTCCGCCTCCTAGGTTCAAGCGGTTCTTCTGCCTCAGCCTCCCAAGTAGCTGGGATTAGAGGCGTCCACCACCACACCTGGCTAATTTTTGTATTTTTAGTAGACAGGGTTTTGCCATGTTTGTCAGCCTGGTCTCGAGCGCCTGACCTCAGACCATCTGCCCACCTCAGCCTCCCAAAATGCTAGGAATATAGGCTTGAGCCACTGCGCCCGGCCTCACACAAATATTTTTATAGTTGATATAAAATACGTTCTCGAACATTTGGTGAACTTGGTTGAATGAATGAAAATGTACTGTGAGCATCACTGCATGTAAGAAAGGAATGCAAAATTCTACTATAGAATTTTACAAATTATTGCCCAAACTAAAACAATTAGAAAGCAAGTATACCTAATAAAGTGCTATGTTTTGCTTAACAGGTAATCTGAACATGTTAGTACATAGTGCAGTGTAGATATACATTATATTTATTGTATAATGTAGACAGTGTGAGTTGGTAGATATATTTGTGTACTATAAGGAATAATGTATAAGATATCAAGCTAGCATCATTTTCATTGCATTCCATTGTCTCAATGCACGTAGCTTATTTAAAATCTAAAAACCTATTACAGTGCATTTTCTTAATTATGAATAGTTTAAAAAAAGATGATGATGATGTTGGCCAGCCTATGACTTTTCCTTGTATTTGAGAGACTGAAACATTACAATGCTATGACAGGTCAAATAAAACTTAAGACTTCTTAGATAGAAAAGGCAAATGCTCCCCCTGGTGTACATGAGCTGTAAAACGTTACATTGCTTTTTAAAAAATCTTCACTTAGGCCGGGGCAGTGGCTCACACCTGTAATCCCAGCACTCTGGGAGGCCAAGGCCGTGGGATCACGAGGTCAGGAGTTAGAGCTCAGCGTGACCAACATGGTGAAACTTTTCTCTACGAAAAATACAAAAATTAGCTGGGCATAGTGGGTTGTGCCTGTAATACCAGCTACTCAGGAGGCGGAGGCAGTTGAACCCAAGAGGCGGAGGTTGCACTGACCTGAGATCGCCCCACTGCACTCCAGCCTGGCCATAGAGCAAGAAAAAAAAAAGAAAAAAAAAATCTTCACATAGAGCTAATCAACACGTCCAGTTTTTGAAATAAATAGAGAACTAACTGAAAATGATACTACTGATAAATGGAAATGTACTCTCTTGGAATATTATTTCATGAAGAGAGCAATTGTTTTCTATGAATTTTAATTGTGCTTTTAAATTTCCTCCAACAGGTATTGTTTTAGATACCTGTATTGCTGAATTTTATTTAATGTATTGTGTATTGAAAGAAAGTAAAATAAAAGTGAGCCTGCGGATCAAAATATATTTTTTAAAATTTTTTCCTTCTAGTCTTTTTAAGCTTATTCAGTTTCCCCACCTCTAGTTCCTTAAATTGAATGCTTACCTTACTTTCTAGCTTTTAAAAAAAAGTAATGAATGCATTCAAGGCTATATATATGTTTATCTCTAATTACCTTTTTCCCTGTGTTCCTCTCATTCTGTTATTGAAGTCTTAACTGATCCTCCATATTATTTTTCTGTTCTGTTTTTTTCCGCATACTGAGTCAGATTGTCAGGATATCTTCTAAATCGTCGTTACCCCTTGGCACTCCAGATAATCTGGAGTTTGTCTCTTCTTTTGAACTTTTTATGTCTTCATTTCCTGGTTTTCAAATTGTTATTTTTCATGGATTCTTGTTTTGCTTTTTAGGAAAGGCTGCTTTTGTATCACAATTTTCTGTTTTGTTTTTATAGTTCTTATTCCCTTATGACCTCTCTGAAATATCTCAGCCAAATTTACTTTTAAGTCATTTTCAGATTGCCCTGTTTTTAATTTGTATCAAGTGAATTTTTTCCTGGTTATTGATTTCATTTTTAAAAATCAGTTTTTTCATTTTGTAATTTCCCTCATTCTACAGCATTAAAGACTATAGAAAAGATGCTTTTTATCTTTCTTTAAAATATTTTTTCTTTTCTTAAAAACAATAATTTTCATTACATAAACTTTAGAAAATATGTAAAACCACAGGTAAGAATTAAACATGTCTGTGTGTATACTTTTTTTAAAAAAGTTGGTCATAATGTATATGTTTTTTTCTTTGATTTTGTTTAACGTATACCCATTTCCCCTTATCATTAAATAATTTGGGATATATAAGTTTTACTGGCTTCTTCATATTCCTTGCCTGTGTTACAGATTAACTGTAATTGTTTAGTTTTCTTTCATGGACATTCAAGAGGTTTCTAACTTTTCACTGTTAAAAATAACACTGTATTGCCTCTATTCTTGTATACATTTTTGCGTGCATTTCTAATTTATTTGCAGAAATTTAACCAATAGTATATGGAACACCCCATTTCTTCAGACCTTTGCTAGCATTGCTGATGAGTGATACCTAATTGATATTAAATGGTATTTAAATGATATTTATAAATAAATGGCATTTAATTGTCTGAATTTTTATTTCCATTATTATATGGTTTAACTTTAATCATATTATTTTAGTTTTTTAACTTTTTTGTGTTTGTCAATTATCTGTTCATGTCAAAAGTTGTTTTTCATAGGTACCAAATAATGTCATCTGAAATGTTGCCAGCATGTATTGAAACTTCTAACATTGACAAAAAGCAAGGCTTAAATGAAGATCAAGAGGAGAGCCAGAAGTCAAGATTAGGTGAAAGGTCTGAGCCACTATCTAAAAGGCAAATGAAAAAACTAATAAAACAGAAACAATGGGAAGAACAACGGGAACTCCGCAAGTATGTGTTTCAAAATGTATATGCTCTCTTTTTATTTAGAAATATGAAACGTTAGACCTTGCATAGGTCTTTGGCATATTAAGTGTAATTGTGTTACTTAAAATTCAATTACTAATTTTAGACAAAAATGGAAAGAAAAATGCAAGAGAAAAAAATTGAAGTTAACAATGTATATTATGAGTAGTGCACAATTTTTGAAACAACTGTCTTATATAAGGGATGTAATTAGTATCCATGTGCTAGTTATGGAATAAAAACAGCCAACTCAGAAAGATCAAGTTTTGGCCTACCATTGATTTTGCCAAAAGAACCATTGTAGGTTTTGGTGAAAGCAGTTAGGCTAAATTTGTTACTGTAATAAACACCAAAATTTATGAAAGGAAAATAAACTGTAGTTAGTGTAAATTAGAGAAAAAGTATGTAATTTTTTTTAATGAACAATTTTATTTTGCTTTTTTTCTTTACCACCTAGCTGCCCGGGAGGCTGAGGTAGGAGAATTGCTTGAACTAGGGGAGGTGTAGGTTGCAGTGAGCCAAGATCCTGCTATTGCGCTCCAGCTTGGGCAACAAGAATGAAACTCGGTCTCAAAAAAAAAAAAACACACAAAAAACAACGAAACAAAAAAAATTATATAGGTGAATGATGAAAGTAAAATTCATGATAACTCAAAGTCAGTAATTATAAGGTTTTCTTATGGATAGTATGATACCAATAACAAATGAAACTATT